GTGTGTGCGTGTGTGCGTGCGTGCGTGCGTGCGTGCGTGCGTGCGTGCCCGCCCGCCCCTCCTCCTCCTCTCAGGTTCAGGCCGCGGCTTCAACCCAGGCCGTAGGGGCAAGGTCCTGGGCACAGGCCAGTGTTACACATGGAACACAAGGGGATGGTGAGTCTTACTTTTTGTGTATGTCTCATAAGAAATGTACTGAAATAAGCTTTTCCTTATGCATGGGCATTTAATGCCCTCTTTAAAAAAAAAAACCAAAAAAAAAAAAACATCACACTGTATCTTCCCTTTCTACAGGTGGAAAGGCATTAAACCTACCGTCGCCATTCTCTCGCGAGGAATTTCCCACCCTGCAGGCGGCTGGCGACCAGGACAAAGCTGGCAGAGAACAGGGCACTGCAGATCAGTGGTATGGGCCCGGACCAAGCCTCCGCCCCCAGAGTGAGTGATGCCCACCTATTCTCCAATAACTGATCAACTAGTCATTTAAGGAAATCAGTCGTGGTGGGAAAACTTCTTTTACAGGAGTCATGTGCAATTAGTCTGCTGTTAGCCATTTGCATAAGAAAATCTAAATTACACTTTATAATTATGTAGACATTATCCTGTTTTTAGGGGTGGTTCAGCTCATTCTGTTAATGGGGCAGCTGAGCAAATAGTCAGTGAGCTTTTTTCCTATTATTCATTTGGCTTGTATTGTTGCAAATGCACAACACGTGTACAAATTTTGTATTTTTTTTTTATGCTTTGGTTGGTATGCGCTTGCCAACACCAAATTGAATTGGGGAATGAGTCAATAAAAAATGTCCCAATTAATTAACTGAAAGTAATATGAAATGAAAACTTCAATCCATTCCTATTTTTAGTATTCCAGATACGGCGGCTTATTTGAAAGGACGTGTTATCGTTCTAAAGTAATGGTTTTGCATATCTGACCGTATTGCATTAAAAAAAGCCTTTGAAGCATACTGACCACTCTGTCCTCTCCTGTGTTCACTGTCCTCAGACGTTACAAATTGGCGGGACGGTGGGAGCCGCGCCCTGGCGCCCACCCTGTCTGGGGAGGGGGCAGTGGAGGGTGGCACTGCTGGGGCTCTGCTGATGGATGGGGCAGCTGGGGTCGCCCCTCCAAATTCTCAGTCCCATGGGCCACCTAGGAACCCTCCCGCAGGCAGCCCCGCCTTGCCCCAGCCACCTGTGGGGCCCGGGTTCCCCCAATACCGAGGGATCATGCCTCCCTTCGTAAGTTTTCCTCTTGTTTTCCTGTTTGGTTTCAGGCAATGTTCTACAATTGTTTTTAATTAAATTTACTGTATCTTGGTTTTCTGCAGTGCATTTGCAGGGCTCATATATATTTGACATTTGTCTGCAGATGTTGTGCAGAATTGGCCAGTGCTGCACTTTCTTTTCATGACATTTGTTATTTTATTATGATTCCTGCATACGTCAAAGGCAATAGACTACCACAGCAACTAATGAAGCAGTCAACCAAGTTAAACTGAGTTGCTAATTGGATTGCCACTCAACAACTATATAGCAAACATGACAGATGTAAGCATTCAAAAGAAAGAAGAAGCTCCTTTGTATATCTACGACAAGAGCACCTTCATGTTGTAGTATGTTAACCTGTTCCATTCGAGGTCCCGTACACCGTTAATCCCTCAAAACAGAGGCGACTGCCCACCGTATATCCTCAGCACCATCTCTGAAGTGTCTTCCAGCTTTTCCCATGGTCCTCCTCCAGTTTTATAATTTCTTCTTTTGAATACGTCTTTGTGTCTGGGATCATGTTTTTATAACTGTAGGATTAACACTATTTACTGTCGCTGCGATTTTGTTCCTCATCATCTGCCTGCCGAAACGTCACTCCAACACGGCGGCTCGCCAACGAGATGGCTGGGTAGAAATTATGAAAATGAATTTGTCGAATCTGTGGTTTTAACAACTTTTTACAATCTGATTTTGCGCACGGTGGTTTTTAATTAAATAATTGTCTGCTACCAATGCCAAAACATGCATGTTTCAGCTCCCCTGATTACATAAATAGATAATTGTATCTGAATCTTTTTTTTTTTTTTAATAGATGTATCCTCCCTACCTGCCCTTCCCGGCTCCTTATGGCCCTCAGGGGCCCTTCAGGTACCCGGCACCCGGGGAAGGGCCTCCTCCAAGGTATGTTTCTTGCCAGTACCAATTGTAAGGCTCGCGTTGGGCTACTTTATTTCAGTTTTTTCACCTGGTGAATTCCATTTTTCCTGCCGTTTGTGCGGGCATGTTTTTGTACCTTTCGACATACCACTTACCTCCTCCACTCTTTCAGGTTCTCTCGTGGACAGGTTGGTCCTGAAGGCAGGTCTCAGGGCGGCCCACGTGATGTAGGGGGAGAGGTTGTGAAGCGACCACCTATCCTAAAGCAGGATGACCTGAAGGAGTTAGACGAGCTGGACCATGATGGAGATGAGGGCTGGGCAGGTAAATCAACAAGCTGCTTCACAGATATCAGATTTACATGTTAGTTTGATATCACATTTGATGTACAAAACACAGTTAAGACATTTTATTCTTTTTTTAAATCTTTGTTCTGTTTAATGTATCGGATGTAAGACGGAACAGAAATTGTATTTGTGTTTACGAGTGGAACATTTTCAGTCTAAATGATTAATGAGGTGAAGGCGTAGCGAGTCAGATTGATGCTTTCTAACGTTGCAGATGATTCTGCTTATCATATTTCCTGCTGATTAAAGCAGAGTCAGTCACTACGATCGGCTCAGGAGGAGGAGAGGTTGGAGGATCGGGTCTATCAAAGTAAAGGATGATGAATAATGTGCAGGGTGTTTGGTGTAAACAAGGATCTGATGTTGTTGTTTTTTGCTTAACAGGGGCTCATGAGGAGATTGATTACTCCGCCAAGTTGAAGTTCAGTGATGATGAAGGAGATGAAGAGGGGGAAGAGGAGAGAACCGAGAGCAAGTATGTGACCAAGTAGATTCAGGATGAGATCACTTCAGATTATGACGATACTGTGTTTTTTTGTTTTTTTTTTTGGCATAAATGGGATTATATTATACAAGTTACTATAATTAGTTTGACAAAAGTTTGTCTTGTCCTCAGTGAGCAGCAGAGGTCCCAGGATGCCCCCGCTGCAGCCTCTCGCTCTCGAGCCTCGGACAGCGGCGGAGACACCCGCCGCACTCCTCCCTCTAATGCTGACAATGGCCCCCAACCCTCCAGCAAGCCAGGATGGGCCGAGGAGGGAGGCAGCGGCTGGGGGGGCCAGGGAGCACCAGCCAACTACCAGGTAGCGTCCTAACCAGTAGCAACAGGGTGTTGCCTAAGACGGGCCACGCTCAAGCTGTGAAAAGATATGCCATCCAAATTTACAAGACAATTTGGACAAAGACTTACTTGTGGGCAGAGATGTGTTAGTGTATGTGCATGCGTGTTTTTGTCAGTGTAGAGTACTGTGGTGGAGCATGGCTAACTGTGTCTGCCTGTATACAGGGGCGCAGGCCTGGATTGGGGGGCCCCCGGGAGCAGTCCTCCCCCCCACCAGGGCCGCTCTTTGGACAAGGGCCTTACTCCTTTTACCGACAGGTAGCCATCTGGGTAGTGCCTCATAGACGAATCATTTCTATCATTATCTCATCCACCGCCACGGGTCTTATGAAGAAGTCATCTTTAGTTTTAAGTTCGCTTTTTTGCCTCCTGAGTTTTGTTTTCGTTTGATGCAATCATTCGTTGAACATTTTTCACATGAAGATTGCCGTGATGACATCTAGAGAGTTGAAAGCTGCATTATGACGCAATCCTGTTTTCCAACTGTTCAGGACCGGCCCCAAAATCAGGGTGCCTCTCAAGGCCCGGCGAAACCTGTCCCCAGCCAGCTTCAGCCAGCACCAGGAGGCCCCTCTCCTCCTGCCCAGCCGGGCCTACTGGTCCCTGGACCCCAGGAGAATGATGAGGATGAGACCTGGCGTCAGCGCAGGAAGCAGTCCTCCACCGAGATCTCTGCCGCTGTGGAGCGAGCTCGCCGCCGCCGCGAGGAGGAAGAGCGGAGGATGGAGGAAGAGAGGCGCGCAGCCTGCGCAGAGAAACTAAAGAGGCTGGATGAGAAGCAGCAACAGCAGCAGGGCAGCAACGTAGGAGGTGGTGGTAGCAGCGGCTGTAAAAGCCCCAGCCCGGATGGAAACTCTGCAGCTGCCACAGCAGGCAGCCCTAGTCCATCTATTTCAGCCTCTGCCTCCTCCCCCAACATCAGCCAGCCCCCATCCCCCTGTGTGGACCCTGAAGAGTCTCCACTGCTGGTTCTCCAGCCGGGGTCCAGTCCTGGAGTCGGTGACCGACAGCGAGCCAGCAGCAACAGTAGCTATGACTCCAGTGCAGGTGAGTTTCTCAGGTCTGAATCGTTTGGATCACGGACATGGTGTGTTTTAATATGGCACTTCAAATAAAGCTTCCGTGTCTTGATAATGAGCTTTGATTCAACCCTACAACCTTCTCTTGGTTCAGAAGGCCAACAGTGTCCCCAGCCGGCCGTGTCACAGCCACAGCAGCCTACGCTGGAGGTACCTTTACCAGGAGAGAATAAGGAAGAGGCCATGGGCACACCGCACATTCGTGCAGGAAGTGGAGGTGAAAGAGGAGTCGACCCAGTGAAGATTGAGAACATTGGAGGGGGAGCAGGACGTCAAGCCGGTGGTCCTCCTGGCCAGGGTTACTCAAAGTACCAGAAGTCTCTTCCACCTCGATTTCAGAGGCAGCAGCAGGTTAGGATATATATTTGTCTGTTCAGGTATTGCTTGAATGTTTTTTGCATTCTAGATGAGTTTGAAATATATCCCTCTCGATGAGCTATGTTTTATACAGCTACAAAAATAACCACCGCAGCTACGTCTTTTGCTGGCATGCCTTTTTAAATATGTCTGCTATTTCTGTTCTTTAACATCCTGGGTGCTATGTTTTCTGTTTCACATTTATTTCTCTTTAGGAGCAGCTCCTGAAGCAGCAGCAGCAGTGGCAGCAGCAGCAGCAGCAGCAGCAACAACAACAACAACAACAACAACAACAACAACAACAACAGCAGCAGCAGCACAACCAGGCTTCACAGAGCCAGCTGTCCCCCCAGCCTCCACAGGGTCCTTCACCAGGTCCAACACCCCAGCCTGGGCCTGGACCAAAGCAAGGTGGACCCATGTATCAACCCAGCAATATGGTGCGACCCCCACCACTGCCAATGAATTTCGACCCTCGCTGGATGATGATGCCCTACATGGACCCCCGCATGATGCAGGGCCGCCCTCCGCCTATGGACTACTATTCAGCAGGCATGCACCCATCAGGTGAGTGGATGTGACATTATTACTTGGGTCTAATGAAATGCGTTGAAGATCTTACAATCAAAACTTCACTGTTCAAGTTCAGATGTTGGTGCAGTAGCACGCAGGTTGAAGTGATGACTGCATAGTCCCACAAATGTCTTGTTTTGTTGTCGGTATCTGTGTGGATATTTTCTTTAAAAGTAATTCTTCACTACTACAGGGCTTATTGGGCGTGAACGGTCTGATTCGGGGGGATCTGGTTCAGACCCCTTTGACAGGCAGCAACAGCACTCAGGTCACCCTCACCGTGGGACCCCCCCTATGGATCCTAAGATGGCCTGGGGGCAGGAGGTATTCCCTGGCGGAGGGGAGGGCCGTGGGCTAACATCACCCCTCAGGCAGAAGCAGGCTTTGGAGGATGACGATGTGGCCAAAGGGCCCAGGTATGGATATACAAGTCAGTTTGCGGGAGATTTAAGTTCAACACATTCTACTGTATGTACTGAGAACAAGGTAAAAGTTTTCCAAAGTTGGTATTTATTTTCAGGGCTGTTAAATTGGATTGCTTTAGATTGTACATGTGTATATAATACTGTGTCCAACCTCTACATAATGCATATGCTCCAAATACTCAAATGATAAGGGACAACAAGTTATTTTGTAATATGGGTGAAGTGACCCTTTTAATTTGATGGATTAATTGAGTATTCTTTCTACGTTCTATATCTTAGGAGTGACACTCCTCCACAACGCATGCGAGAGGTTGGATTGGGACCCGTCCAGCAGCCCAGCGCCACCTCTGGGACATCCAATCAGACTCCACCTCCAGTCGGAACTCAAGTTGGGGCCCAGGGAGGCGGCCACCCTCATCACTACATGAGTGGGCGAGGCAACTTTAACAACTTCCCTGACCAGGGTGCAAGGATGCATCCCCACCAGCAGCAGCAGCAGCAGAGGGGGGAGAGGGGAAATCAGCCGCATAGCTACACCCACCAGGATGAAGGTCCTCCTCGAGGGTCTCAGCAGGGACAGATATGGGGAGGCCCACACCCTCACTACGATCGCAACGGTCGTGCCGATCACCCCCCTGTTGAGAGCAACTCTCATCTCCATCACCATCACGGCCACCACCCTCCGCAGCCTCACTTCTCTCTCCACCCACACAAGCCAGAGAACACCCGAGACAGAGTTGTTGAGGCCCCTGCTAAGAAGACAGACTCTTCTACTGCAACCCACCAACCTTCACTCTCATCCTCCTGCTCTTCCTCCTCCTCCTCTTCTGCCAGGGAAGATGGCAATGTCAAAGTTGCCCTGCATCATCACCCATCCCAGAGAGAGAGTGAAGCTGGTGTCGGGCACAGTCATGGTGAAAGAGGCAACAGTGGCAGTGCTAGCAGTAGCAGCCATGCGAAACAGGAGAAAACGGGCCCGGCGTATGCTCCCCATTCCGCCATGACCGCTAGCCCACCTCCTTCTCAACATGGCAGTCATTCTCAGCCTCAGCACCAGCAGCAGCAGCAGCACCAGCAGCAGCAGCAGCAGCAGCACCCTCATCCTAAATCAAACCAAAGAGGGGGGCGGGAGCACAAGACCGAGACCCAGTGGGGCCCACGGCCTGGCAGCAGCAATACGGGTGGGGGGTCCTCTCATGGTAGGAGGGCTAATACAGGAGGTGGAAACAACTCTCGTGGAGGGGAGGACTCCTCCAACACTCCATCAGACCACAAACCCTCCCACCAGTCAGGAGGCAGCAACGCCAACAGAAGGGCTGGCCCCATTAAGAAGCCAGTGCTTAAGGAGATTAAGAGAGACGGAGGGGAAGCTGATGGAGGAGAAAAAACAAGCTTTGGGAAAGATAAAGAGAAAGATGGTGGCCAACACACCTCCATGAAGCAGGAAGCCTCCTCCACCTCCCAGAACCCATCAGCTCCATCTAAAGATGAACTGGCCCAGACAGCCAAACCCAGGAATGCAGGAAAAGAACGATCCACAGGAGGAGGCGGGGGCGGGTCTGGGAGAGGGCCCAAAGATGTAGACGCCACTTCTTCAGGATTTTCAGGGTCCTCCTCCAGGAGAGACAGGGACCGCTCCTTTGAGAGAGGAGGGGGCCCCTCCCACCACCATGGAGTACCTGCCAAAGGCAGCAGAGCCAGTCGTGGACGAGGGGGAGAGTTCTATGGGCGTGGCCGTGGTTTCCGTGGCACCTACACCGCAGCTGCTGGCCCCACCGGTGGCAGTCGGGGCCGAATGGGTGGCAGGAGCGGCAGAGACTACCGCCCATCTGTTGGCGGTGGCCACCACCATGAGTCCAAGGGCGAGGGAGCCAGTGGTAGGCATGGTCAGGATCGGTCCCAGCATAACCCAGCCAGGGCCAGGAACCGAAGTGAAACCCGCAGTGAGGGTTCAGAGTACGAGGAGATCCCTAAGAGAAGGAGGGAGAGAGGTTCAGAGACCGGCAGTGAGAGTGGTGCAAGTGACCTTGGTCCCTCAGACAAGGAAGACCACCAGAAACCCAACACCAAGAATGGCTCTGATAATGCCAACGCCACTGGCGGCGGCGGCAACATGTCATCAGCACCTTCTAGAGGTTCCCAGGCCCGGGTCTTCACTCCCAGGGGTGTACCCTCTAGGAGAGGAAGGGGTGGAGGTAGTGGAGGAGGAAACATGTACAGAAGTGGTGGCAATGTTGGAGGACCACCTGGTGGACACCGGGCTGGACCCAGCTCAGCATCTCACAGTGGGTCCTCCAAGTCATCGGCCTCAGCTCGAAAGCAGCAAGGCCCACCACAAACCTTTGGGCCCAAAGACTTTGGCAGGGGAGGAAATGGAGGAGAGAAGAAAGACAAGATGGCTGATGCAAGTCAAACTCAAAGTCAGGGGTCCAATCCCCCTCAGCCATCTTTGCCCGCTGCAGCTCCTGCCTCCTCAGCTTCCACTGAAAATGGAGGAGTTGTGACCCAGCAAGCTTCGACCAACCCGACACCAAACTCTGGAGGGCCAAATGCGCTCCCTCTTCCCACTAACCGTGGGTTCCCTCCCAGCGGGTTTGAGCGACCACCTAGACGTCGCCGCCACGGGCGATCCCAGCATCAGCAGGATAAGCCCCCCCGCTTCCGGAGACTGAAGGAGCGAGAGAATGCCGCACGAATCAACGGAGGAGTGGGGGTCATCGGGGGAGGAAGGCCCTCCTCTCCTGCCCTGAATTCAGTTCAGGACAGTAACGGAGCCCCCGTCTCTGCCCCTGTGACAGGCAATGCCCAAAATGCTAACCACAGCACCACACTAACAGCCAACAATAACAGTGGGGGCGGGCATCTTAACAATGCAAATAGTCACCACCATCACCACTACAACCAGGGCAACGCTGGGCAGACCCACCCCCAGCACCACCACAGCCATGGAGCAAAGTCCCCCGACTTCACCAACCAGAACTCGGACCAGGCCAACGAGGAGTGGGAGACCGCCTCCGAGAGCAGCGACTTCACAGAGTTCAGAGACAGGGAGGGAGGAGGAGGAGGTAAATCCTATTCTTCTCACCATCCCCACCACCTGGGAAGGGGTGGAGGCGGTGGCGGAGGCGGAGGTGCGGTCGACCGTGACATGGCGGGAAAGGAGCCCTTGGCGAATAAAAGAAGCTTCTCAAGCCAGCGTCCTGGCATGGAACGACAGAACCGGAGGGTCAACCCTGGAGGAGGTGGAGGGGGTGGAGGGGGAGGAAGAGGCCCACGAGGGCCGCCCGGTGGCGGCGGCTCTGGCGGGCCTGGTAATGGAGGTGGCAACCGCGGGGACCGGCGTGGCAACTGGCCCTCCCCGAAAAATAGGAAATGATGAAATATTTCAAAACATTTCAGATGAACCCCACCCACATTAAAACCACCCTCTTACATCTAATCCCTTTTTGATAATTACTTCATGGCTTACCTGTTGGCATCCCGAAGCATATTAGTGCATTGTACAGTATATGGAGATGGTATTCAAACTCACTTTAGCCCCCTCACCCCCCTACCTCGGTCATGTCTTTCCTTTGCATCAATCTATCTACCGTCCGTTATTGTAAATTTCTTCGTTTGTTCTGTCTTGCTCTCTGTTCAGTTGTACCCCCTCCCTCCCTCCCTCAAGAATTTCACCCCAGTTGGATTTGACAAGCATGTGGTTCTGCAAATGGTGCATGTTGTTTTGTCAGAGGACATTCACACAAAGCTCCACACACACACACACTCGCATATACAAGCACAAATATGACATCTGTACAAACACATGCAGTCATGTGGTTGCAAAATGAAAACGTTTAAATTGGTAAAAATGTTTGGATTGGGCAAATTTTTATATTTATGTACCTGTGTATATTTCTACCACACTTTGGCCTTGGGTGGTATTAGGTAGTGCAGTTCTGCATTACCTCCCTCACAAAGGGAATGAGTGCAGCTTCATCTTTTAACAAGAATGATGTACCATAACATGTTTTGTTTTGTGTGAATTTTCTTTTTTTTTTTCGGTGTTAAGTTTCAGCCTCTATGAAATGTTAGGGGTGTGTTTTTTTTTTCCTTCTTCTAAAAAGCAGGTCATTAAAATACCTTTTTTATCTAAATTCCCTAATTCCTCCTTTTACTGACTTTTTGGTTTCCTAAAAACTATTTCTCTGATTACTGTGAGTGATGGGACCCATTGAAGTACTCCTGCTCAGTGCTCAACAGTGTTGACCTGCTTCATTAGCTATTGGTTGGTCCTTTTTAGGAAATAAAGGCTTTTTTTCTGCCTCATTGTAGCATCGTCCTTACCCGCAGAAGTTCTGCATAACTCAAAAGTTTCCCCAAGTTTTATTATGTCATGCGTGAGCTTTCTTTGCCCCATGAAGACTGTATTGCTAGCTTAATGGCTTTATTTTAACATCCATTATTTCCTCAGTGACTTCTGTTTTTATGGGAACACTGGTGTTTTTTGTTTTTTCTCTCAGAGGATGGAATAACTATCACTCTTGTAAGAGGTTAAAAAAAAAAAAAAAAAAAAAGTTAAATAAACATGTAGGTCATGATAGAATAAAGAAAAGTTTGACTTTCATAAAAATTGTTTATACTTCAATAGGTATTTGAATATGTTCTAATAAGCACTCCTTGTAGTATAACAAAAACCCACGGTTGCTATTTTTTTTTTTTTTTTTTTTTTTTTTTTTTGGTGTGTGTGTGCAAGTTCCATGTGATGCAACAGGACAGGTACTCTGTCTGGGCCCAGAGTACAGAGCCAGCCCGAGTATTGTACCGTTATACCCCACCCCTCTGTGCTCTTGTGGAGACTCCTCACACCAAGAAAGGACTACTACCAAGAGCTCCTTGTCTGAGGCAGTATTTTTTTTTTTTTTTTTTTTTTTTTTTCCAACGTGTGTGTTCTCGGAATGGCTGTTTCAACCACAAGCCCAAACTAATTGAATTCAGGACAATGCTGTCACGCGAGTCTCCTCCTCACAGTTGACACGGTTTCCAAGATTTTCACTCGCAACAAATAATGCCGACCTGGAGTGTTGAGAAAATTACTGGATTGATGTTAGGATCACACTTGTAAACATAGTTTGTATCATACATAAAAAGATATAAAAATGGCACACGGAGACATCCAAGGTGAACTAAAAAAAAAAAGCAATGTATACACCTGCATCAATTCTTTCACTGCTGTAAGTTGGGGTTTGTGTTTGTATACTGAAAACAGTTGGAAGATCGTCTCTGGGATGTTGTGAGTAGGGCATTTGATTTGTGTATGTATGTGCGTGTGTGTGTGGCATGCGTGCGTTTTCTGGTGTTTGTGTAATTACTCGGGGAAAGGGGGTGGGGGACCAGAGGGGTTAACATGAATGGCGAGCACTTTCTGCCTTGTTTGCCCACACTTGATTTAACCAATATCATTAAGACAAATCTACTGTTTCTTGAATACATCCACATGTATACATTCAGCTGTGTGTATATGTTCATCCAAATGAATAACATGCAGTGGACAACCTCACCTGGTTTTTTTTTTTTTTTTCTTTGTGTGTAATTTAATCCTACATTCTTCTGCAGGCAAGTGAAGTTGGATATATTTTATTTTTCTCACTCCTAGGCATGAACACACACCCATGGGTGCAGCTTGCCTTGCACGTTACCGGTTTATACATTGATACACTTAACACTGGCTCAAAGAGTCCTTCATCCCTCCTTAACTCTTAATGTTGATGTGCGTATTATTTTATGTACCCATGTTAAAAGAAAAACAAAAGTAGTGTATTCCAGGAAAGAAATACTCAAAGATTGTACTGTTTCCAACATTACCGAGGTACCTGGAGTGATTCAAACTGTTTTTTTTTTCGTTTTTTTTACCATTTATGGTTTTATTAATGGAACCGTAATATACACACATGTATGTATATTGGTATGTATCTAAGTTTTATCTACCCCAACTTACATTCCCACAAACAAATGTTGCCATTTTTAGTTTAAGGGAGCGATGTACAAGCAGAGAAGTGTCTTATTATAATAAAGTTATACAGAGAAGGCAAAGTTAAATAAACTACTTTTGATTTAATGAAAAATGTAATGGCATGTCTCATTCTTGGAATATTGTGAAAAAAAACTTGAGCATGGTGAAATACCTTTTTCACTGCACATGTTTTGACATGTCATTGCAGGAAAATAGGTGGAACTAATAATGAGGGTTGAATGCTATGTAGGTGTGTCAGTGAACTATACCACTGAGCCGGCCTCATAGGAATGCAGCTGATAGCGGTTAAGCAAAACAAAAGTTAGCCAACTAAACCGGTGATGTACACAACTGATGGGCTTTTAAGTCACTAAAAACACACTTTACTCCAACTGAAAACAAGCACCGATGGAGGCAAGCAGCTCAAGGTTGCCTCATAATACACTTCGTACAACCTTGCCAAAAACAAGATTAACCTCACCAAGCTGAGCTGCTGCGAAGTACAGCAGTGTGTGTGCTGGTAGTTGTGTAAGTGTTCAGCCAAACACACCGTCCAAAACAATGAAAGTGAGCAAACTGTTTCCCCCACTGTGCCTCAAGCACAGGTGCACAGCAGTGTGGGGACTGGTAGTTCTGTTAGCTGTTAGCCAAACACAACGCAATCTGTTCGACACCCCTCCCCCGCCGTGGGAGGGTCGGAGATGCACCCAGCTGTGGTATCACTGGCGGCCTTTACTCCCTTAAGAGTAGTGAGTGCAGAGTCAGCAGGCAATCGCTGGAAGTATAAAACAACAGATAAAAGGTGTTTTGAGAAAGTGTGAGTCACCGCAAACACAAGAGGTTCATGAGCATGCAGACGTAACTGGCCACCCAAAATATGATACCGTTTGCTGCAGCGGAATGAGAGTTAAGCCGCGGACAGACACAGAGGTGCACACACACTAACGGATGCAGGAGTGATGGCATGATCCTCCTGCTGGAGATATTGATAGTAATGAAAGTTAATAGTTGAATATATGTTCTCCAGGAAAGGATTCTTATAATCTATTAACCTGACGTTTATTTTTTGAGGAAATACAATTCGGTAGACATTATGTAAAGTTTCCACAAACCACATCAGAAATCTGCTAACTTCCCATTTAAGAAGAAGTGGAATAATGTTCGCATGTGGCAACAAATATAATCCCTTATAGGCGTGTCACCATCTTAACAAAGGCTAGTGTCATGGTATCTTCTTCAAATCTATAAGAGAACCCAGTGGTTTAATATGTTTCAATTTTTAATGGGATTCATTTTCATAGTGGGCTGCATTCATTGAAAATCCGACACCTTCCTGCAGGTTTGTGAGGAAGTGTGGGTGTGTTTATGTGTGCTTTAGGTTGTGACCGCAGTGAAACAGTCAGAAAGGTGTTCATACGTGCATTGACATAAAATCTGACCTGTGTGACAGCTAATAAGCAAATCTGGACGTTGTTAATATTATGTGAATTTAGTAGCTTACAAATGTTCCCCTTTTGACAACTGACTCTTACTTGCCTGATGTTGAATATTCCTACAGGCACTTGAACACACCAAACCCTGAAGGGGTAACTTTTAAAGCTGTACTTTTCCTACCATGCAGTAATAAAAACATTTGACAAAAGTGTTCACTGTGCTGTATTAGTTTAGTCTTTAAGCTGATATCTGCATGTTATGCCACTGACAGTAACTATGATAAGTTGGTGGTTGGAGGGTAGGGAAACTGCAAGTCTAAAAACAAAGCCCCAGCATGCTTTTGAAAATGGTTGGCAGTAATGCATGTGGTACATTGAATAAAAAAAAGTGCGTTGCCCAACAACAAAATCACAGCAAACTATCCTTAAAAAAGACAAGAACATTTACCGTTCATCATATCATCAGTCTTACGACAGTGAAAAGATATATGTATAATAATATGGGAGCACAGTAAGACAATAGATAAAGTAGAACATAAATAACTTAAATAAAGTTATGTTATTAGAGGCCTATATATATAAGTAAAAAGAATGTACAGGTTTTTCATTTCTAGAAATAACTCCAAACTTGATGCAGTTTCTTGATAAAGGGAGGGGTAAAGGATGGAAGTACAGGTGCTGGCCATTTGCAAGACATGTGAGCGCACCTTGTGTAATACTCAAAGTAAACAGTGGGCGGCAGCAGCGCGTCGTCGGCGCTGAACGCTGCCTCCGAGTCCCGGGAGGAAGAGGAAGAACGTAACCTAGAGGGTGAACTGGGAGGTGGTGTCCATCTTATTTACACCGGTGTGATTGCTATATTTTTGATCTGTTGGATTTTTGAAGGACTATAAAAGTTAAAAGCCGGGTAGGTTTGCGAAATCACTCACGTAACTATACTTAGACGTTTAAACGCAGAGGCAGAGTTGGCTCCAAAAAGAGCATTTTTTTTTAGTCATGGGGCCTGTTTTTTAGCGATGCGCCATGTTGAATTTCAGTTTCAGTGCTAGCCGCTAGCGGGGTTTAGCTTAGCGAGCTAACGATGGTTACTTTAACCTGTTTCCGTTGCGTATGGCCACACCATAACGTCACATTTAAGATACGATTGATATGTATTAACATATAAAAAACACGCTGTAACGACTGCTTTTATAAAATGTAACAGTGTTGAGAAAATAATGCTAGCTAGGTAGTTAGCCTAGCCATCATCAGGTTTGGCTAGCAGCTATAGCTTCATACAGCTAACGTTATCGTTAAGTTACTCTTGTCACGAGAGAGTGTCAGGTATAATAAAGTTGTGAACATATTTAGGAAGAGTCTGGGCAGTTGAAGTTTTGATTTTGACATTGGGTGTTACAATCGTAGCTATTATGTTACAGAGTGTGAATGTTGATGTAGCCCAGTTGATTTATTTTTGGATCATATCTGACTATTTTCATCTCTCCTTTATAGGTCTTCAGAGATGAGCAGTTCAGAAGAAGTGTCATGGATCTCCTGGTTCTGTGGACTGAGGGGGAATGAGTTTTTCTGTGAAGTAAGCTTCTTTGTCTGATATATCTTCGTATATTAACTGTCGCCATCCACGTAGTTGCATATCAAAATTAAGTTCAAATAAAAACTGGACTTGTTATTGATGAGCAGAAATATAAACATACGAGTTGAGTAGATCGTAATATTGTTGTCTCTTCTTACTGTTACTTTCACCACACAGCCATATCCAGCCCTGATCTAGAATGCTTTAGTGTGTTGGCTCCTGCACTCTCAGATGTCACACATTTCGCTCCCAGATCACTTCATTAAACTTATTTCCAGAGGAATGTGAACGACAAAACAAACGTACGTGATGGTAGAAAGTCTCTGCAATCTAAAGGCTGTGGAAAAAGCTTGTTGCATCAAACAACTGCAAAGTATCTAACACTCCGATTGAGAAATGTTACGTCCATTGAAGTTAATAATAACCATGTCAAATCAAAGTTTGTACCCCAGAGTTTACATGCTCCTTATTGATTCTATTGAACCTTTATTTACTGAATAGATCCTGATGTTTTTGTGACTTTAAACTTCCTTGATGGACTTTTTCGTAGCCTTTGAGTTGTTAAGAACATTTCTTACAATTCAGTGAGTTAGTATTTTTTACACTTTCAACAACATTGTCCTGGATCAGTCCCATTGGTCCTTATTAAAATAGATTGACTGTTTGTCAAGTTTAGCTTAAAACAATACCTACATGTACCTTGAAGAGGTATTGCTTGCTCTAATCAGTTTTTCTGTACATACTGACCGCAAAGAGATCCCGTCGCAATATAACTCCAGTTTGATAACAGTGATAATTACGCCTTTAATGTACCTTTTGGCATTGACTTTATAAAACACGAACCTATCCTGTTATATATATTTTCTCATCTGATTTCCTCCCTTAAAAGGTGGATGAAGACTACATCCAGGACAAGTTTAATCTGACAGGGCTCAATGAGCAGGTTCCTCACTACCGCCAGGCCCTTGATATGATCCTGGACCTCGAACCAGGTACGTATCTCATGTTCTCATATTAAGCTAAGCACTGGTTACCATCCATTGCATTGTTTGAAACGGTGGATAATTGTCTAGACAGGAGAATCATCCCAAACAACAGCAGAATAATCTTTTAACAGCTTTAAAATCTGAATGCTGAGACCAAATGGAATCAAGAGCTGCCGGCGTAGTCGCTGCCAGGTGTTTCTTTCATTTCTGAGTCTAACGTAACGCTGCTCCTCTAATCTGTCATGTTGAGCACTGTTGCACATGTCATCTATCAAATAAAATGAGAATGAACATTTGATCTCGGCACTCTTTTGTTTTAAGGCTGTTTATCCTGCTCAGCTGCTGTGCCGGCTGCTTCTCCCCTGATTACACACACTTAAACACATAGTTGTTTCCCTCTAAGTCGCTGTACATTTTCACAGGATCTTTGAAACCATGTGTGGAGCATTTTGATTGAAGTATTATGTGTCACAAGAGCACTCGCTCTGTTGTATTTTTGGTATTCCCTGTCCTTTTTGAAGATGTTTTTTTCCACAGTTCTGCATCTCTGTAAAATGTCAAACTGAAATGTGGACACCAACACTGTTCTCTGTTGCCTCGTGTGTTCAGATGAGGAGCTGGAGGACAATCCCAACCAGAGTGACCTGATCGAGCAGGCAGCGGAGATGCTGTACGGCCTCATCCACGCACGCTACATCCTCACTAATCGAGGCATCGCACAGATGGTAGGCGCCAGCTGCGTTGGCAAAATCCACTACTAAAAATTATTCACACCATGTGACGTTAAAGTAGTCAGTTTAAACACTTTTGATGACTTGCATAGTCAGTTAAAGGGGTGAATGGGGAAAATGAATGAACTTTTGTTGGACTTCATTGCACTAGTTGATGAAGGGGGTTCACAACAGTCCTGCCAGAGAGATCTTCTGGGTAGTTTTGGATTCATAGCTCGGTGTCAGATTTCACCCTCTGATAGCACCATCAAAGCACTAGATGGGTGTGTCACATGTGATCAGACTGAGTCGTCATCATCAACATGCTTTAATTACGTTCCCGGCAGTGCAAAGACGGACGGGTTCGTCTCGCCTCATTATTGAAAGGGCGAATCCGCTTGAAAAGTAAATCAAACGATGTAGAGCAGCAATGGTTAATAGAATTTTGTGTCATCAACGAGGAAGGGGACAAACTAACAGGGACCTCTGTGCTAACCACTGGACTTTGTGAGACTGTGGTCCGGTGGAGCAAAGTTTGTACATTTTAAAGCTAAACGCATCAATCTGGTGCACGATGAGGGCAAAATGAAGAGGCCAGATCGATGAAGAACTTAGTGCTCCAGTAAACAATGTTGTACTCTTGTTCTAGCAGTGGTGAAATTTAACTAAGTATACGGAGGCTACTCAACAACTGTACTTAAGTACAACGGTACATTGAGGTACTTCATTGATTTTATTTGAGTATTTCATTTTTATGTAACTTTATACTTCTTGTCCACTAGAGGAAAAGGGGTGAAATATTGTACTTTTTACTTTCATACATATCTTTGACAATATTAATTACTAATTACTTTGCAGATTCATAATACAAATTAACCAATAAGCTATGATGTTTTATTAAGAAGTTTATAGTTATTAAGTATATAAAGCAGTTAAGATAAGCTCCACCTTTACAAGCTGCAACATTAAAGTGATATACACATAATTGCATCAATAATTATAAATATTATAGCCTATACTAGTCTGAAATGGGACATTCTGCATAATGAGTACTTTTGGTACTTATATTTTGATGTTAATACTTTTAATGAAGTAACATTTTGAATGCAGGACTTTAACTTATTATTTGTACAATGTGGTATTACTTTCACTAAAGTAAAAAAATCTGACTATGGTACTTCCTCCACCGCTGTGCTCGAGTAAACAATTTAATCATAAACACATTGTCGCTGTAGAGATATGAATGGTGATGACATGGCAAAAATGTGCCACCCACATTGTGTGGTAAACGAGCTCTGACAAACGTCTGTAGTTGGAGGACGTTTGTTTCCAATATTGTGATCTTTACTGTAAAAACTAAATACGCTCTCCTTTTAAAGGTACAACACTTGTTAAATGACAAGTGTTTGCCACCTCTAATATATTATAATATGCTGTTTTATCCTTTACAGTTGGAGAAGTATCAACAGGGAGATTTTGGCTATTGCCCCCGAGTCTATTGTGAGAATCAGCCGATGCTTCCTATCGGTAAGTGAAAAGATGAATACTTAAACACAAACGTCTGTTTTTATTTAAGACGGGGTAAAGCGGCACACGGTGGCTGGTAATTATGAAATGTTGTGTAAACATTTTGTCCCCGTATAAAGTTTGTCTCACAGCATTAAAACAGTGTCGCAGTATTCAGGAATGTAGCCGCAGTCTCTTCCTAGTGTTGCATATCATAAATATAAGAGACCGCTTAGTCTTCTAGACTATTTGTTTTCTCTTTTAAATCCCAATATGTGGTTTCTTTATTCAATTTATTCATGATGCCCTGTTTATATTTGGTCAGTAATTGTTTTTTCTTGTCAATTTTAAATCGTCGTTTTTATCAGTGTATTTAGGGCACAGTGGGTTTTTAGGTCTGTAGATTTATGGAGCCACTAATCCTGGCTGCCTGTGACTAGGAACTATGAAGTATTAGTACTTGTTTATTTGTACTGGCAGCGTTCCAGTGCGGCCTCGATCTTACATGTAGCAGATTTACTCTCTCGTCTAAATCAGTGTCTTTCTTCCTCTTCTCCCCCCACAGGTCTGTCAGACATCCCAGGAGAGGCCATGGTGAAGCTGTACTGTCCTAAATGTATGGACGTCTACACGCCCAAGTCCTCAAGGCACCACCACACAGATGGAGCCTATTTTGGCACTGGCTTCCCCCACATGCTCTTCATGGTTCACCCTGAGTACAGGCCCAAGAGGCCCGCCAATCAGTTTGTCCCGAGGTTAGTACAGCAGGCCGAGCTCCAAGATGTGCTCCTGTTGACTAGAACCGGGTTGCACCGGTGCCGTCATTCATCTGCACTCTGATCCATCGGTGTGTGTTTTTGGGGCACGCTGTGTGTGACAGTTCTCACTCATTAGAAAAGAGTACACCAATTATAGTATTATAATTTCCCATCAAAAATGACAAAGGACATGATATCAAATAGCTTGTTTTGTCAGACCAACCCTCCGAAACCTGAAGATACTCAGTTTTCTATCACCTGAGACAAAGAAAAGAGGAACATCTTCACAATTTAGAAGCTGGAATTTGGGACTAATGAAATACTGAAATGATTAATTCCTTCTCAAAATATATTCTTAACCCAAGTCTATTTCTTACGTGGTGTTTCATTCTGTTACGACGTATGTTTACAGAAGACGTCACACGAGGGACAAGATCATGCCTCACTGCCCTCTCCCTAAAAACAAATACACAACCTCGTTAATTCCAGTGTTTGTGTTGCATCTCGTCGATTTCTTTTGAACTTCAAAGTTAGTCGCTTTTGTGCCGCTCGTGACGTTGTTGTTTTTTTTAACCAAGTTAAACTGTTTCCAGAAGAAGTGCTCACTGGCTTTATTACTGTGTTCTTTTCTCCAGGCTGTACGGGTTCAAGATCCACCCCATGGCCTACCAGCTGCAGCTGCAAGCCGCCTCCAGCTTCAAGAGCCCCGTCAAGGCCATCCGCTAGAGCGGCCTGGACAGAGGAGGAAGAGGAGGAGGAAGATTGGTAGAGAAAGAGAGAGAAGACGGGAAAGAATTACCATCAGATGGGGAGGGGTCACCTGCATTTTACAAAGCTTTTCAGGTGCCCCCTCCCCACCCCGAAGACTGTATTATTTTGGTTTAGATTAGGGCAAATGAAAACAAATGTCAAGATTTTTGAGTGTGAGCGAGAGAAAAACCCACAGCCATGATCTAAATCTCACACACACACACACACACACATACAGAAACACATAGATGCAGCCACACACGTGGGATTCCATGCACGTACCTTACCAAACTCATCAGTGCCAAAAACAGGAGGGTGAGGTAAGAGGAAGCTGAACAATACTTCATGCTGCTGCTCGCTCTGCTGTCGTGATCGGTGGGTGACGCTACGTGGGAACTTTTTCCCCGTAGAGAAGGTTTTATGTTCAGGGCTGTTTGACGTAAAGCATTTGTTTGTTCTGTATTTGGCACAGTTTGGTAAAGGGTGGTGGTAAACCCTCAGTCATTTGAAGCTTCCTGTCCCCATTAGCCCCCCCCCCCCCCCCATTAGACCCCCCCCGCTCTCCCCAAAATGCATGTACATGCTCGGGCTGGCACTCGCAGAGACCGTTTGGACGGTGGGTGTTTTTCTGCATCACTCGTTTGAAAGAATTTCGGTTGCCGGTCTGTCTGGTGTTTTGTGGTGTTGTTGCACAAAGCATTCTGTTAAATTTGCCTTAAGATTTCAGAGAACACGCCCACATTGTTTTTGTTTTCTAAGCGGCACACGCAACAGTAGTTCCCATTTCCCCTGTTCGAGGCGGTAAGGTAGAAACCGCTTCATCTAACACAGATTTGTTTCAAATCGTTCAGACAATTGTAATCAGCCTGCGTCATTTCTCCAGCTGTCTGTGCGTGTGTCAAACAACTGTCTGTATTGGTACCGAAGTGAAAATATAACCTGTGCTACAGTTTTATTTCTGAGACGTTTCCCCTCCTGCAGCAGCAGGCTTAGCTGCGTTTCTATTGTCACCCTTCTTCCCTCATAGCGGGGGGGGGGCGGTCAGCCTGGCTAGCTTGGCTAGCTCTGTCCAAACGTAACAAAACCCTCCTACCAGCACATTTAAAGCTCACTAAGTAAGAAGTCAGATCTTGTTAGTTAATTTGCATTATGCGTTCGGTGGGACATACTACTTTGTCATGACATTGCACCTTTTTAAAAACGCAGAGCCTCGTGCTCATAGGTCCACTTTGCAGAGGATTGTGCATCCTGGTATTTTTGACACATTCAATATTTTTTCTGTCATACTCGACAATATGCTGGTGTGGGTATTGGAACGCACAGCCAGTGTTTGAGTCTAGACAGTTACTGGTCCCTGTTTTTACACCTCGTGTAGGCACGAACCAACGGTGTTCATTATTGAGCTCCAGAGGTGTCGGTAGGAGGATTCTATTACCGTCGGACTGATCCAGGCTCGCTGCTTCCCCCGTTTCCAGTGTTTTTGCTAAGTTAAGCTAACCTGCTGCTGGGTGTAGCTTTATATTCGTCTTTTCATCAGTGTCTGAAAGCCAATATGTCCCCGAAATGTCAAAGCATCCCTGTAAAGATCAAGGAGGTTAACCCGGTGCAAGAGGAATTTCGACAATCTGAATCCTTCAGCTCACTCCACCACTGCACTGATCCCACTGGTGTCTCTCCACAGCACAGTCTCATTATTTATGTTCAGGTTTAGAGACAGACCGACCACCAGCCGCTTTCTTTTTTTTGTTTTGTTTCTGAAGCAGTGGGACGGATGCTCAGCTGTCCTTTCCTCACTCCCGCCCCCTCTTTACGTTTGTGTGACTGGAATAGATTGTTTTTGGATTTCATGATACAAGAGAAACGGTATTTATGTGTCCAGATTTTAACTAATGTTTGTGTTGTTGTCTTTCTGCTACTGTGGAAGGGTGAGCAGGATTCAGACTTCTCAATAAACTTCTATTTTCTTTTCATACTCTTTTTGTTCTTAATTTTCTTTGAGACTGCAGCTCTGCCCTCCTGCCACACGGTGTCAGTAGAGAGCTTAGTGCTTTAAAAGAGATATATTTTTATATCTATAAGATAATGTAACACAGTGGGAGCATAAAACACAGAACTGTACCTGCATTCCTATTGTTGGTGTGTTTTTGAGACGGAAGGAGGATTTGCTGTGGCGACCGAGGGAATGATGGCGGTCTGCATTCTGGGTGTGGTTGCAGTGACATTTCACATGACTCTGAGTAACGGCATTGGCTGGAAAACATGCACACAAAAACAAACACCATCCAACTGCATTGAGAAGATTATAATATCGCGTTGAGGCTTTTGTAATTTCTTTTTAAGTGAGCTTTCGGATGTCCTTTAGCCTTTGGACGTATGAAGAAAGTTGTCCTGGCAGTTACAAATAAGCACAATACATATATATTTTGAAAATATGCTGCCCCTATATCCAGTTCAAGCCAGAGAAATACACAGTTATTTACATATGACTCATGCAAAGTTTTCCTCCTATGCACGGCAGCTGGCTTTGGCAAAAATGACTGGCAGGACTGACTTGCCTTCATGTGGCCGTGAGCTGTCAGTTTTTCCACAGGGAGAAGAGGAGGTTCCTTCATGACTCAAGATAACCTCAGACCATAGCTCGGGACCTGCCCTTCTCCTTTTCTTTTCAGCCAACTCCTTTTTAACTGTGTGAAGAGGATTTCCCATGTTTGTTTTTGTCGCTGCATGCCAAGTGTCTCCAGACAGTGAGCGAGAGCAGGCCGTCTTCCTCTTAACAGTCTGCTGAAAGGTGAAAGGTGTCTTGTGTGTTGAGCTGGAAACTAAAACCCCAAATGTGGCAAGAAAGCAGCTCTTGAGTGTTTGCAGAGGAATAATCTTAGCGCTTTAGCTGATCTTACTGCAGTCATGTGGAATGTTCAGCCTCTGCTTTGCCACACCCAGAGGCCATATTGAGCCATTTTTTCCCTCTCCAGATTGTGTTTTGGGGATGCCTCTCTACAGCAGATACGACTGTTGAGGAAATACGCCAGCCACAGAGACTGAGACCACACGGCCAAACCATCAATATGCATTTTAAGTGGCGTTACTCTCCACATGTGATGCGTCAGTCTGTGGTGATGTTGTGACACGGTGGAGTTTCAGTAAAGCTCTTAACATGACAAGACATGTCAAAGCTGATGTATAACAGCTAGTTTGGTAACTTTGCCTCCTACACTGCTTTTAAAAAGTATTCACTCCCTCTTGGAAGTTTTCATGTTTAGTTGTCTTACAACATTGAAGCAAAGTAGATTTAGTTTGGCTTTTTTTTATGGCAAAAGTGAAAACGGACACAAAGTGATCCAAATGAAAATGGCAAATGTAAAATACGGTCAGTCTTCTAAGTGTTCACCATCTTCAGGTATTTAGTAGGTGCACCCCTGGCAGCAGTCTGGAGTCTGTGTGGATAGGTCAGCTTTGCACAATCTGGACCCATTTTTCCCCCCATTCGTCTTTCCGAATCACGAGGGATCACGAGTGAACGGCTACAAACTCGATTGATATCTGGACTCTGACTCAGCCACTCCAGAACGTTAACGGTGTTGATTTTAAGGCGGTTCCTGCGTTGGTTCCCCTGCTCCGGCTCATTGTCAAGCTGGCAAACAAAACTTCTCCCGAGTGGCATGTTTCTCGCAGACGGCACCATGTTTTTATGCAGGATTTCCGTGCTTTTTGCGGCTTTCATTTAATTCTACTCCCCCCCCATCCCCCGACTTTGCCTCTAGCGCCGCCAGGATTTTGTGACAAGTGTTTTCTTTAATAGAAATATCATACTAACTGATTGCGGGATTGTTGTGAAATATAGTACACACTTTCCCATCAGAATGAAGGACAATAACTTATGTGACCCTCTAAAGGAATTGCCCAATACTTTGTTTTTTGACTGAATACCTGCAAAAGTAATGACATTCCCATCAGCCTCAGCTGTACTTTGTGTGCTGTGAATCGGTATGGACGGTTTGGCTGGCTTCTCCCACACGCCCTCTTTCCAAGTGACAAGAGTTGAGAAACTCCGAGGATCTGTGGGCAAAACAATAGAGGCATTTCACCGGGCCCAAACAACCTCCCTCTCAGCAAAGTATTTCAAAACCATGACTCTGAAGATCTTATTTCATAACTGTCCCCACCCTTCCAGCAAGACACCAAAACAAGCCCCTTCTTAAAGTCACATGCTGAGATAATCATTAAACTACAACGAACATGCCCACCACCCAAAACAAAACGTCGGCCTTTTTGTGACCGACATGGACAAACACACTGTGGAAAACGTCAGAAATTGCTTCACCTAAGACTCCTCTCGTCATTCATTCCCTAAATGCTTTTGTTGTCTCTCTCCAAGGATGTTTGCAAACACTCTGAGACAAACGGAGACGGACAAAAGGTCCCCGGGAACAAACTCTGGGCAGGAACAGACTCATGTGAATGATTCACCTCATCCAAAGTCTTCTGCTTGAAGTGGGGCCGTTTCGTCTCTGCGTCTCATTCATCAAGCTCAGCATGGGAGGAAGAAGCTTCAGAGACTTAATTGAAACCTGTTTCAACTTGGACAGTTGACTCTTCTGGCAACAAACAGAAACGCGGCAAAGCCGTTTAAACACGTTGTCCAGAGGACATCACAGTGTTTGCATTAGTGACAAAATAAGAGCCATTTCTGCAGGCTATGTATGTTGTAAATATGTCTGTTTACCTCTTTCTAACTTGTTGGAGCCAAAACCACGAATGATGTTACCTTGTTTTTGACATTTTTACATTTGAGATGAACATAATTATGGATTTAGTGATACAGAACTTCCCTCACTGACTTGTGGTGCCTCTTTTTGCAGCCGAAAGCAGAACAAAAATGAATATTTAAATGTTTGTATGCAACTTAAATGTCACATGAACCAAACGGCTTACTATTATATAGAAAGAACGTTATGTATAATATTTCACCATCAAAATTGACGACGTATGACATGAAGTTTGGTGTGGCTGTGTTTTATTGCGGTTGGTCTCCATCTTTATAGATTTTGCATCCACATACAGCTGTCGTGTTTTACATGATCAAGCCTGATACAGTGTGGGAACTTCCACACAGTTTTCTGCTTTGAATATTTAGCTAGATGTTCACAAAATCACCTCTGTTGCTCTTTACATATTTTGACATTCAAATGCTTTTTGACATTCAAATTATTTTCTGCAACTCTGAATCTATTCTTCACCTTCACATACCTGAACTTTTCATGCAGACTTTTCACTCACAGGTTTGATAAACTGTACAACCACAGGCTTTGACATTCATGCTGAACATTATTTTCACAATTGAACTCATGCTTTGTTACAATCATAACAAAAATGCAGCACGATTAGCTTTACAAGATAATATTGAGTTTGGTTGTGTGGCTTCAGTTGCAGGAACCGGTCTTCCACGCATGTGTTTACCGCCTCAGGGAAAACCTGCAGGTGGTTCTAATGAAATCATTTCAGCTGACATGAAGCCAGAGAAAAATTAGAAAATCAAGACTTCTTATTATTGCCTCACACATACTTGTTAGTCAGGTTGAGTAAAATATTACTCTGAACATCGAGTTTGCACGAGAGTTGACTGTGTATAATTTATGCATAGTCTCATATCAGTTTCAGTGTTTTCTGCAGTGGTTTAACATCCGTGGGAGAGATCCACCAAGACATGAAGCTGTTGATACAATTTCCTTTTATTTTCTTTAGATTTCCCTTTGTTTCTGCTTCTTTTTCATTTCATCATCTTTTTTTATTTTATTTTTTTTTCAATTTTACTTGAAATAACCGATGAGGAGACTATACAGAAATAATCTAAGAACCAATGGAAATATTCCCGACTAAGTATAAGTAAGTACGTTTATAAGGAGGAGTGGACTCAATAATAAATGTGTTTGCCATGTAACATAAAAAATAGAAGTTCATACTTTATGAAATGCCCTTGCTGCCATTTAGTGTGTTACAGAGTAAAGAACAGAGCCAAAGTCAAGGCAGTCGGCTGTGTCATAATAAACCTAATTTCTTTATTACTCCTTTAAAATGAACCAGGTTGACGTTAAACTTCACTGACCTGAGATATACGCACACATGTTCTCTTTCATTGTTCAACCTGTTGATTTACCAGGACATTTTAAAGGCCGTGATGCAGTAAATTAGGATTCTGTATGTGGTCTGTTTACTCGGCCACTTTGAACAAGAGGTGCGAGTAACTGCACCAGGAGGACAAATAGGAATGAACCTGATCCTGTCAGCTCTGTAGATGTAGCTGCCCCACTATGGATTAACAATACAAACTTCAATTTAAGTAACAGTACAGCGGTATTATCAGCCACAAACTACTGAGTTTTTTTTCACAAGGGGTCACAATCCAAAAAGGTTGTGAATCTCTGGTTTAGTCTGTAACAATTTGATGTATTTAATGAGCTTACATGTTTTTTATGTGAACTCTTAATCTTAATGAGCTGTCAAATATACATAGTGGATGAAAATTACAATATTTCCCTCTGAAATGAAGCGTAAGTATAAAGCACAGAGCTTTAATAAATGCACTTAGTGGCTTAAAAGGTCGTGAAATAACATGTAAGCCACTTTCTTGCACTATCAAAACACTATAAATCCATATAAGTGTATGGTAATGACACATGAGGGGTTTAATACAATAATATCGCCATACAATATCCCCAATCCCCAGCTTTCCCACACTTTAACTTCCTGCTGGAATGTAATACCCCCCCGTGATTCACACAGGTGAGAGAGCTCGCTGAAAAAATAACTGGGTGGACGTCCCCAGCGGACCTCCTCTGATTGGATACCGGTGACGTTGGGATGGGAGGTGGAAGATTATAAATCCCGGGAAAAAAGTTTGCGTGATCAAATATTATAACGGTTTGAGTCCTCACCGGCAGTCAGCCTTCTCCTGAAATTCGAGTTTGTAGCCTCGTTCCGCTCCTTTTTCCAAGATGAACAGAATCATTCTCCAGCTTCTTGCAGTCGGATTCTGCTTTGCAGTCGGTAAGTAAAATACCCCAAATGAATTAGGACTTATTCATACGCACGTTGTTTTCACTATTTTTTTTCGGGGTGTCACTTTTATAATGACCGCTAAAATAAAATGTTTTTTAAACCGAAAAGCCTTATGTTACAGAGACAACGTTTACATCTTTCCCCAGATCAAATCTACGTTTTCCCGCATGGAGTTTGGTGTGGCTGTGTTTTTATTCCCATTAGAGCGCCACAGTTGTCTGCAGTATTGCTGTTCAGAAATACACTTTTTTTTGTTTTGCAAATTGTAAATAACATGTTAAATCAATATTCTACTTTACATGGAGCTAATTTAGTGTTGTAGACAAGAAAAAAAAAAAAGAAGCTTGTGTTTTTAACACGGATCAGATCCTAGTAAATACATTTTGTTGGACTCTAAACGTGAAGGGTGTGTCCCAAAGTGTGCATTTATTGGGTTTGCGCCGTGTTGAAGGGCTGCAGACCTTTAGGCTGCTGTTTGACTGGGTGTGTTCACTCTGTAGGACCAGCAGGGATGTGTTCACATCATTATAGGGGCAGGAGCACCAAAACAAGACATGGGCACCTTTTGTGACAAATTGACACAAATGTGTTTTTAGTTATGTTCATGTCGTGATATACTTGTTTTCCTGGTTTTATACGTCGTGTTTTAGTTGAACAGATAACACATAGTGCACTTGTTTTTGTGTTTCAGATAAGCTTTCATCACCTATTTGGTTATTACATCCACAACATTTTCTCTCAATGCCATCAGTAACAGCCATCTGTCATCCCAACTGATTTGGGGTAGACATGGGATAGAATTGTTTGAAATAGTTACAAAATAATGTGATAAACTGTTAAAATAGTGAGCTAAAAGTAACTGATAAACTGTTGAATCAATCGGAGCTGAAATGATTGGTCGACTGACATCAATGAACTGCTTTGAACATTGGTTAGGCTCATCATTCCGGTAAGTTGTCAAGCAAAAATATCAAACGGGCTCTGAATTCCGCTTATTGAATGTGGATTTTAAACTGAATATTTGGTTTGAACAAGAAATTTGAGGACACCGTCTTGGTCTCTGGGGAGTTTTTAATGGGAGTTCTTCACTAGTGTCAGACATTTTTTTTAGAAGAAGTAGTTAGTCGGGAACAAGTTGGTTGGTTTCAGCCCTAAAATCAAATGTTATCCTGTTTTATAGGACTAAAGATTCAACAGAACTCACACATGAAACAAAGTAGCTGCTGGGTTTTCCTGTTTTTTTACCCTCTCGGCACATCGCAGGCTTTACTGTTATTACAGGTTGGGGTGAGGCAGCCTGTTTGTGCTACATGGATTTTTTTTTTTTCCTTTTTTCTTTTCCTTCTCCACAAGTTATGAAGACTGAATCATGTCCCAACTTGACAACCAATGCATGAGAAATTCCTCACCTTGTAACAGTTGAGGCTTTGCCCAAGTCTCAAATTCCACTTCTATAGAAGTTCTACGGACTGGGTGCACTATACCGACCATTTGTTCTTGTACTATTGTGTTTTGGGTCTATTGTAGTCAGTTTCTATCCTCTGTATCCTGTGAACTCTGTTGTTTCGGTCTCCTATTTCAAACCACACCTTACCTAGAGGGAACTATCTCATTCTGGCTGCTTTTTTTATACTTTAAGTTGATCATTTTTACCTTTTGGCCTATACAAACCCTACTTAAATAGTTGTTTGTGACGGAAGAGTGATTCACAAATGCAAATAATTACATACCGAGGTTTTCTGTCTCTCTGTGAAAGTGTCCAGGAGGGATAAACATGTGTGCGCGTATGGGTGTCTGTACCCTGGGAAGGTGATATCAGATGGCAGTCTGGTTGGCAGTAACGGCTACTGAGAGGTTTCCCCGAGCACCAGCTGGCAGAATAATAGACAAAAACACTTTGCTACTTTTGAATCCAGATGTCGGTAGCCTAAATTGGTCAGGTTGGGAGGAGAAATCTAGAGAGACTGTTGACCAATTTTTGTATCCCTTTGTGTCCCCTTTTTTTTTTTTTGCATTTTCATTTTTGCAAGTTATTATTTTGTGCTTTATTGAAGACATTTAAATGTTATAATATTCTGTAAAAATGAATTCAAAAGGGTTTGAAAAGTATCTTCCTGCCACAAACGTTTTAATCTGAAAAACTCTCCTCCCATCAGTCTGGTTGGCATTGTGAGCTTTAAGGCTATGTTTACCTAACACTCCAGACCCGCCCACGTGTATTTGCCTATACCTTTTGTGAGGTTGTAGGTGTAAGGATGATTATTATCCCAAGCGGACGCTTTGAAGGCAGTCTTTACATATTTGCCCTCGCATTACTTTTCATAAACTTGTTTACGTAGTCCTCTCACGAGATGCCGGCTCATTGTAGTTTTCCGTGCCCAGTCTCACATTGAGTTTAATTTGAGCTTGGTGGTGTTCTGTTTCTCTTCACAGTTGTTCCCCACGGTGAGCTGAGGCAGTCAGAAATACTGAAAAGCTTTCTTAAACAGAGATTTTGTTGGTGAAGTGGACCTTAAAATGTGTTGGTTTTTTTTTTTTTTCAGCTGGATTGAGTCACTGCTCAGCTGCTTCTGTTGGTCACACATGGAGACACTGTTGTTGAGTTAATGACTAAATGCTGATGCCAGAATAAATACTTGTGTTACCTATAACTAACTATTTTAAGATCTTTTGCAACAATGATGCCCTCAAGTGGAGAAATTGAGGGCTGCCTCTTCCTTAGGCACTAACACAATGCCTAAAACATGATCAACCACATCAGAGCTGTTATTCCTCTGCAGTCACTTATATTTTCTTCTTCTTTAGTATTAGACTAAACTGCAGTTTAGGCTTTTTAAACTCTGCAACTGTTACTTTCATCTCTTCCCCCTCTGTGTTTTGGGTTCCTCAAAATGTTCTTGTGGTGGAACCTGAAGGGTTAATCTGTAGGTTGCATGACAGAGCAGTAGAGGGCAGTGTAAGGCTGACACTGCACATTGAGGGGGTTAAGTAACATGCCACACCCCAGAGTTCCTTGTTATCAAACTGGATGACATTTGCTCAATTTTTTACGCAGAATAACTCTCTGTTAATATTTAAATATTATCATCAAAAGTCACTTCAGTAAACACGGTGCTCTTGCAACTTAACTACTGTCATTAATCGAAATAATGATTCTGAACCATCTCTTGATTGTCAATTTCTTGTTTTCAAATTCTAGTATTATTGTTTATAATCCTTCTGAACAAGTTCACATACACCTAGCATATCTGGTATAAAAAACAGATCAATTTAATCCCTTAGGACCGTATTAAACCAATTGGTGTCAGAACACATTCTGATATTTTTTTATCCTGCATTATAGTCACAGTAATTATTACAAATGCAAAAAACTGTCAATATTACGTAAAGGTAATGAACCTTATCAAAGGAGTTCTGAATAATGTCTGCACTTTGGATTGTTTACATCTTGGTGTTTTCTTTACTTGAATACAATTTTAAATGCAGACCTCTACCTGTAACAACGGTATGTCTACAATGTTGCTTTGCAACTTTAACTTAATTAAAAGGATCTGAATACTCCTGCCGGTTACTGTGACATCTGGTTTAGGACTCCTGATTGAAAGAATGTGAACTTCACTTGTGCACCTGCATCGAGGGCAATGATGTCAATGTGCACAACATGAGTTCCCAGTAATAAGTGGAACAATGTTATGTAGCTCAGCCAGGAAGCCGTCTGCGTCGTGATTTATTAATCCTCAAAATACAGGTTCTGACATGCCAAATCTGCTCAGCCTATTGTGTCTTGTCATCAAATGTCATTAACTGCACTTCACTTTACTTCATATTTCACCCAGAGCCTGCTCTTTAAGGGAAGACGCTGTTGTTGATCTGATGCAATCACGGGGGGGGGGGGGGGGTGAAGACGCTACCGATTATATGTTGAGACACTTCAGTGAACGAAACACTGTGCTGAAATTCAGCATTGTTAAGGTGTACTGTTCCCTCGTGAATTCACCCCCGGGCTGCCCCAGTCTCTGCAATGCAGACCGACCTGTCTGACTGAGCCATAAACACCAGGGTGCTGAAGTGTTTGCGTGTTGTGGCAACAACAATATCACATGATATTTACCTTTTATTTACCAAATAAATTGTGTGCTGATATTATACCATATTGCTTAGTAAGGGTGTAAAAGCATGCGAGTCAGATATATAATTTTTTTTTAGAGGTATTGGACATTTAGTGTCTCCCAGATGAAGAAATCAGTATCTATCATAAACTGAATATATTTTACGTGTGTGTTTAGAATATACAGTAGTCGGAGGCGGAGCAATAGGAGTGTACATGTAATGAGGATTAACAAAGGTAAGTCGGCTCTACTTGAATTTGGGTGTGACCGAAACCGAGGGGACAGGGTGCGGGGCTGTTTGAGTACGAAGGTGTGGCTGTGTTGTTGTTGTTGTTGTTGTTGTTGTTGGTTCTTTCTTCTTCTGAAGTAAAGAACAGGGATGATCACATACAAATTGCCATTGAAATCAGGCTGATCCATGGGATCATCATACAGGTTCCTATGAATACATCTCTGACACATTGTTTTTGTTTAAAACATTTCTCTATTCATAACCCTCCCGTTTGTGGAGGAGTTTAAGTGAGTCATTTTATATATATTTTTTAAACATGTTCACGCTGAAAAAGTGACAAAGTAAAATCAAAGATATCAACCCTTGTGATTTATTTTTTTTTGAGTGTGACGTAATGGTGAATGATGATTAGTCAGCTCAGCCACCATCTCAGTCATACAGCAGTCACTTTATCTCTCTCTGTATCATATACTCCAGTTGAATATGTAATCATCCATCCCTCTACTTGAGTCATTGCGTTGCATGTTAGTTGTTGTAAATGTCAACATGTGAGATTAATCATGTTGAAGCACCGTATCAAAACAAGCAATCTTATCAGTTAGTCCTGCATGATGAAGAGTACGCCTTTTTAAAACAAATTCCAGTAAGCCAATCCATAACTATCATTGAAGTTCAAATGATAAGTTGTTTGACAGAAAATTTGGCAAGAATTTTAATAATCCCTTAACGATTGAGTCATGTTTAACATCTGCTGCATCCGGCTTTTTTATTATAGTACATTGTAAACAACAAAACAAAATAAGGCTGTTGATTAGGGATGGGTGATTTTCGCCCAAATCTTCTAACCCGATATACATGTAGGTCATTTCTATGCTATACAGCACAATATAAAATGTTTTCTACTATTCAATAGTCTAAATGAAATAACCACATGGCTGTGTTACATTGGCCACTTGTGGCTGCATAACACCTGCTTTAAAGGAATTTATTTTTTGTAGTAGTAAAGATTTAAGATTCAAAGCTTTATCACTTTGCTAAATATTGAATCAAAGAGTGATTTTCTAAGATTGCCTTTCCTATTATTATCAAAAATGATGACAATAACAACGTGTGTAGCAGAATTTATTTCCTGCTATTAAATACAACATTACGGTCTTATTTTTAGTTACTCTGCTTAAAGGTGAAATATACGGGATTGAGAGCTTTACTATAGCAGCAAACAACGATTTGCTGAAGACGTAGCAGAGAAATGTCTACCTGAGCAGAAAATGAAGTCTGTCTCCCTCAGTGTGTGCTGTAATTAATGCAAGCTTTGTTGACATAGCCGGTGCATGGGAGCGTGCCTCACTGGCTGGCTCACAGCAGCTGCACAGCACTGCTCTCATACGGCGGTTACAGCTGATTACACAGTCCCAGAAGCATAGTGCCCACCTTCCAGTTCCCCCACAGGTTAACACTGTTGGCTCTGTCAGCACTTTTACTGTAGCTTGGACCGTTAGCACCGTTGGCTGTGAGTCGCCGAGGTGAGAGGCAATCAAAATGCTCCCAATCTAGATATAGCGTCTATGTGGAGGCACTGGTTCAAATTCACAAAATTGAGCTTTACAATTTACTTGTGACTTTTACTGTAGTGTGCAGATTCCCTTTTTTGTAATCATCACAATGGCCAACTGCCCCTTCCCCACTCCCCATCCCCTTACTTTTGGCACCCTTGCTTGGCCCACACCCATCTTCGAGCTCTGCCTTTTCGTTTTGATCTCAACTACACACCTGTAAAAATTCGGGATTTCATCTTTCCCGGTTGTGGCGATATTGCAGGCAGACAGACCGACACCCACCCACCCAAAACTGCTTCTGTGGTAGTTGCCGCTACAGTAGATGTCTCCAGCACCACATTTTGCCATAATGACACACGGATTCACAAGGTCAAAACAATACCAGCGTTGCTGTCACGGGGGGTGATCAGAGGGGCTTTACAAACCTAAACTAACTAATCTAAATAACATAATGTTGATCAAACACAAAATATAAAAGAGAACTTTCCAGACACTTCTTTCTTTGCATAATGACTTTGGTGCGTACTTTCCACAAAGACTGCATTCATGCAACGCCGATGTTGAACTGGAGTGACCGGTTTCTAACAAACCTTCTCCTTGGTTCATTCTGATTGTTGTGTTTCTCCCCTCCCAGTGATGGGTCGCACAGTTTCACAATGGCCTCTCGTCTTTCAGGCTTAGTGCGTCACCGTGAAAGCTTTGAGTTGGTTTACTTCAATCTATAAAATAAAACAAAAACGGAACAGTTTTTTACATACAGATTACCATTTCCAGTTTTCCTTTGAACACAATTAAGCCGCTCTGCCAGTTAATTGTGTTACATTTATTTCGTTTGGAGCGTGTCCAGGACAATGTTCAATCTGTTCATTCTAATAGACGGTTTGTTGTCAACTAATTGTATTACTTAATCAGAATTATTTTTTTTACCTCAGCTGGCTTGAGGCTAATGTTCTCAGAACTGGATTCTGCGTTTCCCCTGATGTTCAACTTAATGGCGTCTCTTTGTTTGACCCAGCATTCCTGGTAAAAGACAACAGAGCGGCCCCAATTCTTTTTGACCAGATTTTTAGTGCGAAGTGTGGTTACATTATATTTGATTCTTCATTTATTTATTTACATTTTGTGTGTGCTGTTGATCCAAGAACAAAACAAGGTGTGAACAGTGGTGAGACAGTTCCAGGAAGATCTAAGATCTTTTTAGTTTAAGTAACTTGAACCGTCTTTCCAAAACCGCAGTTTCATTTGTTAGTTGTTATTGTTTGTTTTGCCTTGAGTCACAATATATACGATTACATCTACCTACAGTTAAGCTGATGATACAAGCAGACGACGTACTTGGACTATAATTCATTAGTCCACATCTATTATGTTACACTTGAATCACTTGTTGTTTGCCCAGATGGAAAAGTACATTGATTTCTTGTAGTTGCAAAAAAATAAGGCTATACTCAATAAACTCAATTAAGTTAAGCGCTTCAGGCAAAGTGTACAAGCGTTTGAATCTGGTGCTACCAAATGCTGGTATGACCTCGACCGTAAAAACCTGTGCTACAGGTCAAAGGTCACCCATTTGTCTTCGTCCATGATCACTGGCTTTGTGTCATTATCTCATACTCAACCATGCGAGAACTTTTTTTACTGGCCAAACTGCATCATCTGAGTGGTTGGTAAACACTGAAACAGTCTCAGCAATTTGTTTCAGACAAACATGATGTTGACTGGAGCTTGTTACAAACCTAATCATGCTAATCCTACATTTCTTTTTCTTTCCTTCTTGCCTCCATCTCTCTCTCCCCCCACCCTCCAACTATCTGTGGATATCAGTTCAAGGTCTGCAGTGCTACAAATGCTCCGTTGGCGTAGGGGCCCTGTGCTTTACGTCTAAAACAACATGTGGAAGCGGAGAAGTTTGCTACAGTGGTGTCGGGGAAGCAGCAGGTAAGGAAGGAGCTCAGGAATTTTAAATCTCACCAGACAAAGGTGGGTTATTGGCAGCACTTGCATGAAAATGCATTCTCGGAATGCCTTCTCGGAATACATATGTAACTGCACTAATGCCTAAGGGGGAATAATGTGGCAACTAATTAACAAGTGAATTTATGACCAGTGAGCTGCCAATCAATCTGAGTCATCAGTTACACATTCAACATTAGGTGTTGTCTTTTAAAGGTGTGTGAAAACTAGTTAACAAGTTGGCAAAGAAGCTGAAATAGTTGGTTTCAAATTAGTTTGATTTCCGCTTCAGAGTTTAAAACAGGGCTGCAAAATCTTAAAAAAATGAATTCTTACGTTTTACCATTTAGCAAGCTGCATGATGTGTCAGCAGTTCACGTGACACAGAATTACCTACTGTATACTGTACTGTCTTCTCTTTTTTTACTTCGATGAAAAAAGTAGTCTGCCGATATTCTACATTAAAACCAAAACAATGAGTTGATCCTGATGTAGTTTGTCCACATGAAGACACACATTGTAGTTTATTTAGGTCAACCCTGCTGCTGTAAATACTCACTACAGCGGCAAATGTGTAGCTGAAAATAATCCACAACAAATGCACAATGTAAACTAGTGTTTTATGAAATGACTAAACCTTTTTTTTTTTTTTTTTTTTTGAAATTTAGCTATTTATTTGTCTGTTTTAAAAATGTATGTCTTTATTAGCAACGTGGGATTTTTTGACTGAAAGAAAAAGCACTAGCATAGCGAAGTTCCATTGTTTTTCTGTGATTGGTTTAAAAAAAGGTTTATATGTCTTTTTTTTTTATTGAAGTTAAAACCCAAAGTTACTAGCCAACAACACGCAGCGCTACCTCTCACTGTGCAACCATTTCATGTAGACACAATGAACAATAGACGGTGATGGAATGTGTTTGCTCTCACTTTTCAGGCTTCGTGACAATCAAGAAGAAGGGCTGTATCAAAGTGGCCCAGTGCAACAAGACCGAGGAAGTGAACTTCCCCTCCGACAGCAACACCACCCTCTACACCATGACCAAGACATGCTGCAGCACCGACCTGTGCAACGCTGCGCCCGGTCTGCCCGGGACGTCCAGGCTGAGCCTGACCCTCGCCACCATCACTGCTCTGTTCATGGCCAACATCCTGGTTTGACAGAAAACACAGCGGATGGCGCAACGTACACGCACTCACACACAAACACATACAACACACTACATATTGCACTACAAGGATTAAATTATCTCCTCAGACATGCATTTCTTTTCTCCAAATGGGTCTTGTGTTAACTGTTCTTGAGGTGTATTGTACTTCACCCACATGTTAATATTGGTTCAAATGAAATTCCCCCTTTTTGTTTTTGTGTTGTTGGATTAATCGGTATGTTGTCCTAGCATGTACATTGAGAGTTGACAGTTTAAAGTAGCCTACAATTAACTTGAATGAGTAGTAAAATGTTTAGATAAGTGTCGGGCATTTCACTGTGACTAAATTGGTTTTGTAGGTTACGTAGCGCCATTGCAATTTAAAGGAATAAGCCAACATTTTGGGAAATGTGCTTATTTGGTCTTTTTTTTTTTGCCAAGAGTTGTATTAGAAGATTGATACTCTCATTTCTGTCTGTTTAACATGATGCTATAGCCAGCAGCCAATGGGTTAACGGCTAGCATGGTGCAGTCAGAAGTATATAAAAACAAAAAATGCCTGTAGCACCACTAAAGCTCAATAATTAACATGTTTCATCTCGAGTGTAAAAACAACAAGAAAGTCATAACTAGTGAGCTTTAAAGGTGGTAAGGTTTTTCTACTGACTGTAGCGCCATGTTTATTCTACACAAGTGGTGTCGTTCTTCTCATCTAACACTACGCAAGAAGAGGAAACATCTCTCACAAAATGTCAAACTATTCCATTTAATGTATTGCCTTTGACCCACTGTATAGTGATTTTAGAGTCATGATATAATCTATAGATCTCAACACTCCCATGAACATTTCTATTTCTATTCATTACACTTGTTGACATTTGTTGGCTTTATTAATGTGTAGCTAAAATAATGTAAATTGTCTTGTGTCTGTGAACACACTTCTTCTCGCTGGTTTCATTTCGACACAAATGGCTCCACGTTCTGTGTTTTAATCACTTTTATTTTTGATGTTCGTGTCAAATCCACACTGCACGTTACTCAGACTGTGGGATAAAAGCTTCTGTTCATCTTGCTAGTTTTGAATGTGTATATATGGGGAGAACGTGATGTAACTCATGTTTGCAGATATTGGAAACTGAAATTGCAGCAATTTGAAATGTGTCAGGGCTGATCTTTAGATATCCTCTATCTAACACTAATCATTAAAGAGAAATTCCTGAAATTGACGCTTTTGGCATTATTGTCCAAAAAAAGTAACTTGTCTGAATGTTTTTGGAAAATTTGTTGTGAAGACAATTTGAAGAATGCAATAAATATCCATTCTGGGAAAAAAAAAAAAAAAAAGAACTTCCCTTGTGTGTAGTTTGTACCAGAGTGATCTGCTTTCTTCTCTCTAAATGTCTCTCGTCTCGTTGCCATCAAACAGGACCGACTGGTTCTTCGGGTTTGGGTACCTAACAGCGAAGATGGTGCTGCTGCTGGTATGACGGCACTCGTCTGTCCTGATTTCAGGTTTAGGCACACAAGAGACATTTTTGGTGTATGAGGAAATCTGCAGTTCAAGCAAAAACTGCATGGAAATAAAGAGCTTTTCAGTCATAAATTGTCTGTAAATAACCAAAGTACGATGTTTGTATAAATGGCCTTTCAAATGAAGTATTCCCTCAGTCAAGTTTAGTCTGGCCTTCGTGATCTGGAGGTTTTAATGATTTAAAAGTTAGACTCTCCAAAGAAGACTGCTTTAAGTATGAACAAACATCTGCAATTTCATAAAACAAACTGAGTAGTTTTCATATTTTCTCTTCAGTAGATGGACACCATACAGTAAACCTGTTTTCCTACTTCACTCTAACCCCTTGCAACAACTATATGCCCTAGCGCTGAAGCAATTGATCGCTTAATAATCAGAAACTAATTTCAGTCATTTTTCAAGCTAAAAACACTCGATATTCTCTGGTTTCAGCATAACAAAGGGAAGGATTTGATGCTCTGCTGTGTATGTGATAGTAAACTGAAGGGTTTTTGCACTGTTCCAGTAAAACAATATGAATATATTTTCCCTATTTTCAGACATTAATCAAGAAATCGCAACAACAAAAAAAATCCCGATGACGTCTAGCTTGAAGCTTGTGGTGCAATCTATGGTTACTGACTGACTCTTTAACTTGAACAACCAGCTCAGGCAGTATGTACAGCTCATGGTATTCAGTTAGATCACTGCTTCAATCATGTGGCATATTCCTTTACTCTTACTGATTCTTCCCTCGAGGGAAGATGAAGACAAAGGACTTGGGAAAACCCCTCTCTTGTCCCCTCCCTTCACCTGTCTGTGACTGTATAAATATCTGGCCTGACCAAACACTTTCACTAGACTTTTTTCTCCCACAAACAGCATCTGATCACCTGACTGGAAGGCTTTCTTTTTGACTTTGAGCAGAAACCATAAGGACCAACACCAACGCATCAAGATGGCAAAGATCGTAATTGCGATTATTGCAATTGTTGCATCTTTCATGATGGGTAAGTCATTTTTTACTAATTTTCTCTCTATTGTTTTATCACTAAACTGCATCCTAGTTAATTAAAGACCATACAACAGGTGAAATCAGCTTATTATGCACAATTGAGATTCATTTAGTTTGCCAAAACCAGTTAATTAGTAATTTGCTCAGGTGAAAACGGTGGCTCCATTTCATTCACGTTCTTCTTTTACAAATGGATCCTCAAATGACTTACTGATGTAACGAACTGATGATGCTTCTCCAATGTGCTCACCTCTGGTGGTATCAAGCCACACACATAGTTTCAGATTTATGTGTTAAGATTTTGAATCAAATTTAGTTTGTGCTTCTGAAAACAATGATGAAATTACAAACTAAACATTAATGTTTCCTCCAAGAAACAATTACTCATAAATTAATCACAAACTTCAGCAGTTTTAAAAAAGACTATCTTCCGAAGTTATATTAAAAGCATACCATTACCGTCCATTGAAGTGGGGCGACGGTGAGCCATCTTGGACGCAAGGGAAACCACATCTTTCTGATACTATTTACACTAAAGAAAAATGAGACAATATGTTTTCTTTTGGTGAACTGAACCTTATTAAATAAAATCATAGCTCTTTTATTGTTTTTCCCTCCAAATTAGCTAAAAACCTTCTGTAACCGTGAAAGTGCACCACTGATTAGTATCCGTCACACCTGATATTGTCCTTGATGATGGAGATTCAAATCAGTATCGTTGAAATCGCCATGATGGATTCCTGGAATGTCAGAGTTTGATTGTTTATTTGTCTTGGGGAGCGGTTTGACGACTTCTGCTTGTGCCACAGTGCAGGGTGTGGTGGCCCACAAATTCCCCAAAACATTGCTGGCTATGCTAATATACATCACTGCCTGTAGTCCAAAAGTTTGGTGAAAAAAAAAAAAAATGAACACATCTTTTTAAAAGCAATTACTGTCATAATAGTTAAACATATGGGTTTACGTTTATTAGCTTCACTGAACCTGTTTGACCTCATTTTTGATTACCACTGTGGATATTACACTTACTCAACATCATGTGTTTTTTTTTAACTATTGTGCTATTATTTGTGTGTTTCAGCGGAGTCCCTGATCTGCAGGAAATGCACCTACGGTCTGGGGACCTTCTGCCCATCCAGCTCTGATGAGACCTGCCCCACCAGCAACTACGTCTGCTTTAATGGGACAATAAGTGAGTCACCTTCTAATTCCTAAAAGCTCCCACCGTTTCTCTTCAATCTATACATAACACAGGAATGGTTTAATTAAAATCACTCACAAGTACTGTGTTGACCAGATACACATAAATCAACACGCACACACCAGTGTTCCCAGCTGCCAAACCAGTAGGCAATCCCATCTGACTAGATATTCATGTTTTCTCTTAATACTGATTCAATGAAGTGATTCCGATGTTTTGTTAATATTGTATATAAAATATTGTATAGAAGCTCTTTTACATAACTAAAGTACTCCTTAACAAGTGCTACATGCTGTAAGTAGTGATGTGCACTTTAAGTTTCATTGTCAGGCAATAAAACATGTATTTCACGTTTTGGAGGTTTTGGTTTCGGGTCACTTGAATAAGGATGGAACAAATGACCTTGTCATGTTGAATGTAAATAAAGAAAGTGTATTTAAAAGGTACACATATAAGTAATTAAAGCAGCTTAGTTAAATGTGGTGCAGTAAACTATACTATATTACTATTACTGTACTATATTTCCATTTGGTGGAGTAAAAAGTAATGCAGTAACAAAATATACTCGGCACCAGTACATTAAAACTGTATTTGATTAAATGAACCATCTCCATCTCTGTAACTCTTATTCATCCAACACAACCATTTCTCCTCAGGTTTCTCAGGATTTTCCTCTTTGGGCATCAAAAGCCAGGGGTGTCGTTTCCCTACTGGCTGCAACTCTACCGTCACCAGCACCCTGCTTGGTCTCAGATACACAAGCACAATCAGCTGTTGCTCAACAGACAGATGCGCCAACGCCGCCCCATCCACCAAGATGACCCTCACTGCCGTTATTGGTGTAGCCGCCTTGGCCTCCATGTGGTCTACCATTATGTAATATGCCTAATGCCAGACCACTAAAAACAGCTGTAGCCAGCTGCTCCTGAAGTCCATTTGTACTATCATAAATTATCCAGGAGAGGTCTACAAGACCGAAAGCACAGAAATAAACTCTCTGGATCACATGAGTTTATAAGTATGATTCTCTATATGCTCTTGTGCTGTGACACTCTTCAGTTTTCATAACTCAGGTCTTGTCATGTAAGGGGTTAATTTTTAATAATGATAAGTCCAAAGCTGCGGTCCACACTCGTGGAAGTTGATCAATGGAATGTTTCAGGGAAACATTGAGTTCATAAATCTTACAGGCTGGTTGGTTTGCTTTGGTTTTTAAAAATCTTTTTGTATTTACCCTTATGAACTACTTTGTGTCTTACTTTACACATTGATGTGAAAATAAAGAAAATCTTGGAAAATGATTTGTTGCCTCAGCTTGCAGTTATTTTAACATCTATTCGTTCGTTAGCTCTAGAGAGGCGAAGTCCAGCCCCCTCCGGTGTCCCTATGGGACTGTAGTTGGTAAAAAATATCTTTGATCCTGTTTGAATTTTGACATGAATTACACATATATTTGTCAATTTAAAAAAAGAAATTGATGGATTTAATCTTAAACTTGTGTTAACCACAGACCTGATTCAGGCATCTAACCAAATCCCCATTCAAAAAACCCATCGACTTCAAGATGAGGGGACCGGAAGTGCAAAAATTCTGACTAATTTCCGGGTTATAGGACTCAATCCTCCACCACTAACAGTTCAATATAGTTCGAAAATGAATAGACAGTATGCATGCACTGCACGGGGGTAGAAAACATGTTACCACAATGCTATGGTAGCATATTTATGGATATTTTCAGTATTTAGAAATGAAGCAATTTGCTGAACATCAGTCAAAACAGTGTCTAATGGCTACATTTGTAGGCTGCACTCGCCCAAAGTTTACACCACGTGCCTGTCTTAGCCTGTCAGCTGTGGATACAAGGAACTCAAGTAAAACAAATGGCAGCTAGAAGCAACGACAATGCTAACCAAGCACTATGGGTACCCCTCCCCCACGCAAAGTTAGCATAAATAAGTAGCCAAAGTAATGGGTAAATGGTTGAAATATATATGTATATTAATATCTGTTAGTATTAATACAAACCTAAACATTGATGATTAAATTGTATGAAAACAATATTGTGACGATATAATCTTTCGTACAATTTAGGTATTGAAATGTCCAGTTGAAAATCCGTTCAAGTGACGGGTGGTGCCGATGAGGAGTACTTGAGCTCATCGGGGTTCGTCAGGCAAGAAGGGTTGGAACCACTCTTCTAATCTGGAGGACTGTACTGTACATAATCTCTGTTACTGGAATGTGTCACCTCTTACAAACTTTCTTATCACTACTGTCGATGCATATTACTGATATAACCCCCCCTCCCATGTATAAAGATCTTGACTGTGAGTCATCGTTTACACAAAACTAAATCCCACAGCTTCTGAAACGGCAAGATCTTAAGATTTAGAGATCGACCAACACTCCTCGGTGGTATTTTTACCTGTAGGAACATCACGATGAACACTTTTCTGTGGAGCTGTGCAGCACTGTTGTCTCTGTTTGTAGCAGGTAGGAGTTTCATCTTTAATGTATTTAGTAGATGGAAAACAGTGTATGGGGTCTAGAATAACATTTTGAGGTGCTGTTAAGAAATAGTCTCAAAGCCTGTGGTTGTTGTTTACCTCTTGTGAACCTGTGACAAAACTGCATGAAAAATTCACAAAAAAAGATTGTGTAACTTCAACTGTCTAACTGTATTTATACTTTCTTAATACTGCAAATCTTTCCCAAACATTCACAAACTAGAATTTCTGACGCAGACTTTAAGATTATTTCTGAACTTTAAAATCATTTCACAAACTCAAAATCGTATTGACCGTCATTCAAGGTCAGTAGGCTTGTGGTGTTATTTGAGGTTAACTTTTAACGCAGTGCAGGATATATGACTTTGAAGCAAGTTGTAAGAAATACCTGACCTACGAAAATCACAACGGCTCTGCATTTAAAGGGTCAGTTCACTCAAATTACAAAAACAAATACATATTTTATGACATGCTTCTTGCAAAATGGAAATAGTTTTTTTGTCTTCTTTGCCTGGATTTTTACATAACTCCCATATTTCTGCCAGTAACCAGAAACAAACACTGCTGTTTCATTTTTGCAGGATTTGATAAAACCATAGGACAAAACACACTGTTAGCAGTTTTCATGGTGCGACTGCAAGGACAAGCTGCTGCCAAATGAAATGCTTCCAGCACCACAAATACAATTTCATTCACCTGTAATGGTTACGGTTGGAGGCAGAAATCTCACATATCTCAAAACTTACTTCAAAGTCACACGCAAGTATCCTGGATTGAATTACACTTAAGATAACACAAGTGTTCACCTTGAGAGGTTGTGAATCCAACTCATGTGTACTTTGTGATCACAGCAGGGGCTTGCCTGATAAAGGTGTAACTGAATGGAGTCAGATATTTGTGGCTATTGATTTAACTTTGTTTGTGTCCACAGTTGAGCCCCTCTCCTGTTACACCTGTGATGTGAGAATCCTCGGCTCCTGCCTCCGTGAGGCTCCTGTAAATTGCACCACAACTCAGGACAGATGCTACATCGCAGTTGCCAGTAAGATAAACCGCTGAATGACTCATTAATCATTTTTACACGATTACAAAAATGCAGAGCTTTACTCAGTAATAACCCATCCTCCCCTGATAAAAATCAGAGGTTCCTCCACAACCACAGCTACATAAAAACAGGGAACAAAAATGCTTTGAAACGTTCTCTGAACTGGCCTTCTGGGATTCATAAGTGAACAAAGGTGTTTTATCTGTAACACATCCACAGGCATGCCTTGGCAAGAGGTTGGTAAGCCTCACGGAATTTAAATTATTTTGGTTTTCAGTGATGGTTTGAATTTGCCAACATGCTTTGAATACTCCGTCAGATGCTTTTGTACTCTAAATGTAATTTATCAAATTTAAAAATATGAGTATTGACAAGACTTGAAAAATCTAGTCCAAACATGTGATTTCGTTGAATTATTTATTATAATTTTAAATTTATTTTATAAATATTGGGGTCACAAAGCCAAATTCCCAACCCTAAAGACTATTTTAGACTATACCTGACATTTGGTTTTTGATTATTTCAATTTTTCCCCCTTTAATCATTAATCCAACGGTTCCAGTATGTATTCTGTTAATTTATTCCTCCTAAATGTTGTCCCATAGCCCTCTACCCATTCTGGTCGAAAAACTGGTCGTTTATCAGATTTGAAAATTCCTTTCATACAGACAAATTCACATAATTTAAGCATTTGCCATGAGCTATTTCAGATGTGAAAACAACTTTACATATTATATCACATGTACAAATCAAGACGAAAGGCATAATAGGGTAATAGTAATAACATACACAATTAAAGGCGTAGAGGCGTAAATAGAGATATATTGATTGATCCAAATATCCAAAAAATGGAAAAGTTTCCAGCAGGAATCATCCAACATACGTTTTTGTGGCCAATTGTGGTTTTTGAACGTGAAATATTGTGTCTCATATGTGAATAACTGCATTTTATGCATGGAAATAATATATTTACTTACATTGTAATGTATGTAAGAAAAAACTAATAAATAAGTAAAGATATTTGTTTTTTTTAATCAGCTCCAGAAGAATCATGTCTGAGTATCTCATCCCTGCTTCCTGCAGAGTTTAGTGCCGACCTGTTGGATATCCATGAAGGAGGCTGTGTAGAAAGATCCGGCTGTGAAAACAGTAATGGAACCATCCTGACTGTTAACTACACCATCACCAGGACCTGCTGCTGCAACAGCCTGTGTAACGGAGCCGCCTCCATCCAACTGCCCCTCACTGCAGCTCTGGGTGCTGCTCTGGTGGCAGTTTGGAGCCAGTGGGGCCTTTAAAGAAGAGTTCAGGAGGAAGAGAACAGGTTGCTGCACATTTTCATTTAAAAAAATCCTCACATTTGAGTTCTTTAATTTCTTGAATGTGCTTTAAATGTGTGTTGTCCCCATGATATATAATAGAGGGATACTGGCTGCATGATTTGTCTGCATTTACAAGCAATGGCTGTACATTCTGGATCATGACTGAATAGATTTTCTATGTAATTCTCATACATTACAACTCAGCATTAATGTTAAAATCCGCAACCTTTCAAGACCACTAAAGCTTTGTGAGTTTGTGGAAGGCAACTACAGCCAACTTAATCCAAACGCTGATTATTGCAACAATAAATTATTCCCATTTCTGTTTTCTGTGTTTATTTGGAACAAAACCTCCTCAATGATTCATCTGATGGGACATGCCAATGTAATTTCTCGGAAACAAGGTTGCGATATGGCAGCTGCTCAACAAAGTTGTATTTTTGCTTTCTTGCCAAGAGTAAGATGAGAATATCAATATCACTTCCATGTGGAAATAGTAATGGCACATATGAAGCTACCGCTAGCAGCAGGTTAGCTTGCTCTGTCTGAGGTTACAGTAAGAAAGTCTGATCCCTAATAAGCACTTTGCATCTTGTTTATTTAAACTGAAATGTTTAAATGAGAAGTTGTAGTCATGGGCAGTAATGTACATATTTATATTTATTGGATGGGAGCAGTGAGTCTCGTCATCGCTGTGAGATTGATATATAGAGACTCCATTAAATCATTTTTCATACAATGTAATGTGTTAATTAGTGTAAATTAGAGGTGCTGACAGGCAGATTTTGTTATCTTTGGACAGATCCAAGCTAGCTGTTTCCAGACTTTATGCTAAGCTAAGCCAACTGGCTGTGCCAAGTGATAGGTATCACTCTTCTCATCTTATCAGCAGGAAAGTAAATAAACTACCTTACACTTAACTCGTCTTATAACCTGCTTTATTTGGTTGTTGATTTAACTAAGAAGGCAAAACATTTAGAAAAATGTATGTGACTCTGTGACAACTGCAGGCCACTATCTGATGAGGTAAATCTCACCTGCATGTTTTGTTAAACAGACTAATAATTACCGAGAACAAACTTAAATAGTTTGACATTTGGTAGATATGCTTATTCACTTTCATGCTGTGTTAGAGAAGATGATTAATCGATGACACTCATGTTTATTCAGTGTGAAGCTACGGCCAGCAGCCAGTTAGCTTAGCATAAAGACTATAAACAACAAAACACAACAAAACAGTAATTTCTTGGTGTTTAACTTTGCTTTTTATACAAACTTAACAAATGAAATAAGTTCTGTTAATTATTTAGCTTTATAGGTTTTTGTAGGTGAGGTACCTTCCAACAGTGCCAGGCTAGCTGCTGCTACCCGTTTCCAGTCTTTATGCTTCACATTTACTGTACAGATATGGTGTTATCAATCCTCTCATCTAACTCTGGGCAAGAATGCGAATAAGCATACTTCCCAAAATATTGAACTAATCTTCCAAAAACCATGATTAGCAGCATGTTTAGTAGATGCAAATAGCATTTTGAGGACTTTTTTTTAAGCTCACAGCTTAAATTTCACTCAAAACATATATATTTCGATTTATATTCTATTTTATGATTGCAAGTGGACTTCAATTGGGATTATTCTGTCATACCTTTCCAAAAGTGACGAATAACATCTTTATAAACATATGCTATTCTTTTAGCTCCATACTGCAGCACCCCAAAGCCACAGATAGCAGGTTCAGACGCCGTTATGACATGTACTCGCAGGAAGCAGCGTTCTATTCAAAATATAGATCTTTATTAGTGCAAAAATATCAATTTCATGTTTAAAACCAGCTTCGCACAGACAGTAACAACTTTGTTGGTATCCAACAACACACTACAGGTCACGCATCCCCACGTAATGGGTTGGTAATAATAAGGATTAGTTAACCTAGTCCAGGAGTAGCGCTCAAACTACACGCCAGGGCGCTTACTGTCGCAGACAAACACTACCCAGGGTTGGCAAAACTAACAATTGAATAAAAAAATAAAGACACCGGTCCAGCAGAACCAAACGTCAGTTCCACTTGGTTACAATGCCATAGAGTTGAAAGGAGTGTCTCCTTATTGCTTTAACAATGAATCCTAATATTTGTTCAGTTCACAAAGGTTCAAACACACATTACTATGTACACAAACACACATATAAAGCCATGAATGAGGCTATAAATCATCATTTCTTTTTTCTCTTTGTTAGGCTTTTGAATATACCTCACTCTTGTCAAACAAACCTCAGTATTTTAGAGAATAGCAGTTGATGAATACAAATCGATGCTCATATTATTCTATTTTTTGTATCGAGAAACTGCTCCAAGCCTCTGACTTGACATAAAAGCAGATGGCCTGAGCTGAGCTGATGAAGCTCATTTGAAACCCATTTGAGACACTCGTCTGTGCAGTTGGATCATTTAACGTGTCTTTGAACTTCTCTGTTGCATTGAGATCATCTTCTTTGTGCCGATAAAACACAAATCTGTGTACGAGTTGGATGATGAAGTTCATCTGGGTCTGTGCGGCATTGATGGCCATGTTTGTTACAGGTAAGAGAACCAAACACAAGACAGTTTTTGTGCTGACGAAGAGGAACATTATCTGTAAAATCTTCTACTTGAACATGATCACTAATACAAATGAATAGATGAATTGTCAGAGGTGACAATTTCGAAGTATTTCTGTAATGAGTATTTTTGTTGCAGGTATTTATATGTCACTGACATGCTCTAAATGCTGATAAAATGACTTACCAGTTGAAGGATCTCATCCAAAACATCTTTCTATTTAGATCCAATTAGTTTCTGACATACATTTATATATTTAAGAGTGATTCTGAAATGTTTATTAACTAAGTATGTTAATTTGTTACCATTTTAAAGTTTGCAGGCAGACTAAAGAAATAAAAAACAAAAGGATTTCCAGTTAAAAAAGAACAGGAAACTGCTGTTATCATCATACAGCAATAAACAAAAGCATATATAAGATAAAAAGACAAATATGGGAGTCACAAAAACATCTCTCCGTAATCTCTTTCCACATCCATCGACTTAAAGCGTTGCCTATGATAATGACCTCAGCCTTCATTACTGTTGCTTTGTCTTTCTGAAATGGAAATATGTTTTACTCACAAACTATATCAAGCTTGAGAACATTTGACTACTGCTAACGCCTCGACAAAAATTATCCAGGATCTTATTGGTGGGATTACATCGATGCTTTTGTAAGCGTTAAATATTTTAAACAATATTTTTTTGAAAAATAAAAATCAATAGACAAAAGACACTATAGTTGTTATTAGCAATTAGTGTTGAACTGGAGTTGTATGAATAAAATATTTGCAAGCAGACAAACTTTATTAAAATTGTAAGAGCAAGTCTATCAATGATTCAATTACCTGCGACACATAGAACATAACCATGTCAAGCTTATCTTTCTGCTTATCTGGGGCCTGGTTGCTATAAACATTTTGAAGAAATAATTGAAACTATATTTATATTAATATTAACACTCTTACAAGGATGACGAATATGGTGAGACGTGATAAAGAAGATGATCTCAACACTGTATTTAGGACTGTGGTAATTTGTGTAATATAGTTTGATCACTGTGGCTATCTGAGTTATTTTCCTCATTTGTAAAAACAAAACAAAAAAAACTAATGCCTTCTCCGTCACCTTGTCTCTTTCTCTCCGGACCACAGGTGAGTGCCTGACCTGTAACACCTGCAGGGTGGGCGTGGCAGGTAAATGTCCGTACAGCTCCACCAAGAACTGCATTGACTCTGAGCCCAACTGCTACAAGGGAGAACTGGGTGAGCAACACTCAAGTGATCACCTGCTGTTCTTTTCAGTCCCTGAGAAAAGATGGGTGTTTCCCTGCATGAGCGTGTGACACTTTTCTAAACTCAAACTATTAGACACTGCTGAAGATGAACAACCTGTCCTGGCAGTATGGATTAAGGTGTGGCCGGAGAGCATGACCTCAATGTTTTTGCATGTTTTCGACCATTTACTGTATATACATGTTTTGTGCAGCCTTTTATCAATAATAAATCATCATGCTGGTGAGTTTATGTGAAGGTGGAAGGCTCTGAAAGCCACATAAAACATTTCTAAATCAAGTGTCATATGACCCATGAATGCGGCAGGCTACTGTTTGGAAACTAATACTTGATTTGGATTCTATTAGAAAAATTCGTGGTCATTTCACGTCTTTCTGTGAGATCAGGTTGCTTAGTACTTAGAGGACGATGACGAGGTGAAGAATCGAACATCGTGTACTTCTTTTATTACCAGGTTCCGTAAAGCCTTTGTTTGTTTAATGTCTGTGTGTCAGTCTGCTGCTCCCTTCATAGTGTCACCCATTGTTGTAGTTGCTACTACACAACTCAGCACAATACCTGCCACACAAAATCAAACAAACCCTCTAATGATACACACACACAGAAAAATAATTTAAGGCCAACCGAGGTTAGACATGGCCGTAGTGTTACATACACCTGCATTATTCCTCTTAAATGAACTGTCCCTTGTGGATACTCACCACCATTTGTTTGTTTTATCCAAAGGTTAATTCTTTAAACTGCCTCTTAAAATAAACTTTTAAATCAGGACTTTTAGGTATTTGGGCTTTACAGAATCTGAGTACTTCTTCCACCAATGAATGACACATTGTATTCACAGACTTTTCTCTGTAACAAGTTTTAACAACTTGATCTGATCTCCTCCTTTAGTCTTCAACATCAGTCGTTTTGTGACGCTGCAGACTCGAGGCTGCATTGCCTCGTCTTTCTGCAACCAAACTCAATCCGGAGCCCTCCTGACTGCCGGATACACCGTCTCTAGGACCTGCTGCAGCACCGACCGCTGTAACGGAGCCACATCCATCCAGCTTCCTCTGACTGCTGCTTTGAGCGCCGCCCTACTGGCCGTTTGTTTCACCTGGAGCCTTTAAAAGAAACAACAAAAAAAATCCTATTCATTACTGGGGTGTTGTCTTATATGTAATCATTAAGGAGTAGCTTCATTGTAAACTCATTGTTGTAGCTTCTATGCCTGTAACTGTAGGGTTCAGACAGAACACAGTACAAAAGCACAGTGTAATTACATGTTGTGTCCATGCCAATTGCATGACAATTTGAAAAAATTAAATGCTTCTGTAACTACCACAAAAGAATATTTGAACTGCATGTTAACAATGAAACTAATGAAATAAAAAAATGTATTTGTGCTCAAACTTAATGAACGTGAGATCCTCCGAGCTGTGAATGTTTGAGCAGAGTTTCCAAGTAATTAGCCAAGACTTCCTCTTCACATAACTGGAACAAAAACTTGACGAACCGCATTCTTGCACGTTGTTTCTTCAGTGAGTCCGACCTGAAAACGTCATTGCTCTCCCAAAAGTAGTTTGAAGCAGGTAGTTAGACCTGAAGTATATCTTTTTTTAAAGGAATCGGTTGCCCTCGTAACCCTCTAGAAAGATGAATAACGTTTGGAAAGCAGTGATCGTCCTGAGTGCCTTCATCGCAGCAGGTATGTAAAGAATAAAATCTGAGGTTTTTACTGAGGTAAAAATGAATGTAACAGTAGCTCTACACTGAAGCAAATTGAGGATTTATTAAAAACTATAACTATACCTTTATTTGCTATGATTATTATTGTTGTAGAATAAAATGTGTTTTATGTTATTTTTTCATATTTAAACATGCTTTCATTCATCTGACCCACTGTACCAAGTAGGATCTTCATGTCTTTGTTAAGCACCATCTAACACTGTAATTGGATGACAACTGTTCTCAAAATAAATGGATTGTACTGTGGTTCATTACTTGGAAGAAACCAAATCTTTGGGATAAACAAAGACAAAGATGACTTATATTAATTGGCGTTTGTGATTAAGTCTCAGGGGAATTCACTGCAGCTTAATTGAGTCTGCTACAAATGTCTTTACCGGCACTAATTGCCACTGGTCTATTATGATATTCCTGTTTATGTTGTGTGAGAATCATCAGTATCATATGTTTGAAGGCAAAATAAAATGTTTGCAGAGCTTCCTGAATTTTGACTTCTGTTCAGGAAGGATGATACTAAAGAAAGAGAAATGAGAGAAAAGTAGCCCATACATTTATTTAATTGCCTAAAATATATCAGACTCCTGGAAGTCACTGAACCCCCACCTGTAAAACTTCAAGAAACCATTTCACACTTCATAAAAGTCAGATGCAACACGTGAGTGACGAGCTCTAGAGGTGCTGGTGGAGAAACCCGAAACTAGCACAGATTCCCTGATACTGCTGAAACTCTGAAAAGTTGCTGAGTGAGTTTCTTGAATCTGATTATCACATATTTTTTCACCTTTCTTTTCCTTCAACAGCACAATGCCTGAACTGTCGTCAGTGCGTTGTTGGTGTATTTGGGACGTGTCTGTTCGGAAGCGACGTCCAATGTAACAATTCAACTGAGAGCTGCTTCCGCGGAGAAGCACGTAAGGGATCCGCCACAACACTCTGGACATACTGTGAATACACTACAAGCGTTGACGTTTAACCAGGCCTACAACATATGGAAATGGATAATAAAATCAGACATAATGAAATTACCAAACTAAATAAATTAGCATCAAAATCATGCCTTACGCATGACTAATAGCTTCAAATGCTTTCAACTTCATCATGGTCTTCATTCGCCCGGTTGCCATAAAATTGTCAAATTGTCCACAAACCTTTGAATGAAACATTAAGCAGAAAAACAACATTTAGCAACAGCTACAGTTTCCTGGCAAGTGAGCAAACTCGGTCTGCTGATGAAGATGGTGTGATACAATCAAAAGCTCCAGAATATCTATTATGTGAGTGAACCTTAATGTTTACATCTGCTGACATCCTCTTTTGTTTCCAATCCTGCCAGAGTTCAACGCGACTGGGACGTTGACCCTGCACAGCCGCGGCTGCCTGGACTCAGACCTGTGTGGGAAAACGCTGACCGGCAACCTCCTGGGTGCTGCTTACACCAGCAGTTTCCAGTGTTGTACAACAAACCTGTGTAATGGAGTCACCTCTGTCCAGCTCTCGCTGACTGTGGCCCTCTGTGCTGCCGTCCTGTCCTTTGTCATGCAATGAAGAGATTGTTTTAAAATCCATGAAGCATCAATTAAATGAATCATTGTGAGCTCCTTTTCTGCCTCGTGTCATCATCCTTTAAATACAGATTCAGGGCAATGAGAAGACAATGAGGTCATGTCTTCAATATATAGCCTATAAACAAGCTTGCATCTGTACAGTCAGATGGCTGAGGGGACTACTCTAGATTTTTTAATGGTCCTTCATGCTTTTAGATTGCAGAAAGTCATATCAACAAATATATGTTATTATGCATGAAGGGTTTACAAAAACAGTAACGTTGTTGTAGCCACGCTGCCTGGAAATTGAATTCCAGGAAGCCTGGAGAGAGTTTGGGAAAGCCTTTTAGCTTTATGTTGGGAGATAGAATAGCAGGACTTTATTCATGCGTCCCTAACTATTTATAAAAAAATGTGACTGGCATGAGAAGCTGTTATTATCCACAGAGACACACAACAGGTTTGTGTGCACTTAGCTTGTTTTGAAAGGTTGATCTGTGCTGTGACATGTTGTCAACACTTGCCAGTTGCAGTCTACAATGCGCTATTGTTTTCACCACAGATGACCTGACTGTTAGAATAAGAACCTCCGCCTTATTTTGGAGAGTCAGTTGCTGCTGCACAATTTAGATCTCAATCATCTTAAAACGTTAAAGTCCCTCTAATTGGCTTGCTCAGAATTTTGTCACTGAAAATAGTTACACCCAATTATTTACAAAACCCCCGACTTTTTTAATAACATTGAAAGCATACGCCACTTAAATATGAAATCCTAGTCAAATAAACAAAAGACGAGCAATGAGTAGATCACTATTTTTCATGTATTTGATTGAGTACATTTTACATTTCTTGTCTACTTGTTCAGCCACAGTGAAAGTTCATTCTTGATGGAAACAGGTCGACCAAAAAATAAACGAAATTAAATATAAAAATGAAATCTTAAGATCAAAGTAAACAAAACTAAAGACTGAAAACATAACGGAATAAAAAAGCCAGTAAGTAGAACATATGTTAAGATGTTGGTCAATGAGCTCTTATTTGTTTGTGTTTGGTCAAATAATCATGCAATTTAGATGTTTTTCTTCACATTGAAAATTAAAAAAACTGGGTTAAATTTAAACTATCTTCAAACTGTCCCTGGAAGTTCCTCGTGGACTCCTGGAGCTGCCTGGATCCCAGTTTGGACATCCATGACAGGGAACAGATTGTAAACACGGCTTTGACAATCAGAGTTAAATGCCCATTCGACTGACAATCCTTATGATATCGATTTCCAGATTTTTGCAAAGTAAAGATTAATAGCGCCCTCTGCTGGCTCTTTACTATACTGCAACGAATACTGTAGCCTACAGTACAGAATGTTTTAACAAACTATCCATGCAGCTTATGTTATGTTTACATAATGGCCTCCAGGACTATCCAACTAAACTAAGATGACATATTTTACATTTTAGAGAGACCTCCAGAAAGTTTTAATGTTGAAAACAAAACCTGTTAAATGTACATACTATCTCCTCTCAATCTTCTTCTTCTTCTCCGACTTCAGAGCCCCTCCGCGCTGTTTGTCACTGTCGCTCTTTGAACGCCTCTGTATTTGCTGAAAGCTCAACCCGTCATGCGCCAGCAGGAAATGGAGGAGCTGTGATGATGATGATGATGATGATGATGAGTGTGTCGCTGCAGCAGACTGGAGGCAGCAGAACTGGGAGGAGAAACGACCAGCAGGCGGCTACAAGCGACAGCGACAACTTTAGCCACTTTGTAGGTAGCCTCCACAGACCTAAAATAAGCTAAAAATGTGATATGTTGTGCTTTAAAGAGGCCGCGGTTTGCTTTGTGTTACGTCCACGCTGTTTGTGTCGCTGCTACAATGTTTCATTTGTCACTTACTGACTGCGGTTCGGAGCGGACGATGGGCTTGGCTTCCTAACTCGTTATTGTTTCGTTTCGGAAATGTAACTTTGTGCTTTAATTTGAATGTTTTGTGTTTTCTCGTTTTTAAAGAAAAGGTTTCCGGTCTCGTGCATCAACCGGTGAGGATGAGCGACGCGAATCAGCCAAAAGTTGAACTTTTTGTCAAGGTAAGTGATTGAATGATGCCCCCCAAACCCCCAGAAAAGTGTCGACACGGCGACATTATGTGCCATTCATTTGTGTAACGGGCTTAAAGCTGCAGATACGGCGTGTTTGAGGTTTCATATCTTATCATTTCATCAGCATTCTCACCGTATTGTTATTTAAAGCTGATAACGTATCTGCACTGTCCACACGGGGACACAAAGTCACCTTGTAGCTACGTATTAAATCACATTACAGCGGTGTCCTGTCAGTTACACCACCTCTGCTGACTCAGTGGGCTTATAGTCTGAACGACAATAAGAATAATCGAATTAAATGCATGTTAACATGATCGGCAGGCGACTTGAATCTATCTTTAGTGACGTTAGTGTCGTTAGTGTGTCAGGCAGGCTGGTCCCATTTTCTTTGAGCCCAAAAGACAACAAATATGACTTCCCCTCATGTTCTCACGCACGTTTAAATAATGATTCCTCTGTGTGAACATGTGCACCACCCTCTACTTTTTCCACCTTCAGGGGTGAAAGATACCGTTGTAACTTCTCTAAATTCTGGTTTCTAGTCGGCCTCTTCAGTGACACTTGATACCCTAAATTAACAGAAGAGGCTACATATCAAAAATACAGTTTCACATTGGCCTTGGTAACAGAAAAGTAAGTGGTTTCCTGTTTTATTTGAACGGTGGGTTTATACTGAATGCTGTTCAGGCCACAGTGCAAAACCCTGAATGGGATGTAGAATGACTGAACATGAAAAATGGCTTCCTGCAGCCACACAAGGAACATTTTCATGCTGTATGATCATTTCCTGAGCAGACTGTAAGCTCTGCTTGGATGCAAGATTTAATTATGCGTCTCAGTCGTGGTGATTTTGTGCTTTCCTATAAACTAATATTTGTGTTTTGGACGGTTGAGCGGACAAAACGAGCATTTTAAAACTTCTTTTCCCTTTTTATTTTCTGACAGTTAAAGAACAAATAATTAATTAATCAATAAAAGGTTAATCAGTATTATCATTTGAGATAAAGAAAAGCGGCAAAGCATCACATTTAAGAAGCTGGAACCAGAACGTTTTTGTCATTTTTACTCGTAATTAACTGTTAATAAAAATAGTTGCAGCATGAATTTTCTTGCGATCGATTATCAATTTATTTTGTCAACTCGTATTGCTTTTATCAATGCTCTGTTTTAAATGAAACAAATGGAGACATGCTGCAGACTTTATGCTGCAGAGCCAAGAACATTTCGCTTGACTTCTCCTTTTCAGCTTGTTTTATTTTTTTATTTTCTTTATCTGCTGCTTATTTTCTTTCTTTTATATTTTTATTTAGTTTTCACACAAAAAAGAGGAAATGACACCAAAAAAACCCTACAAATAACGGCCATGTTCCCCATATCTGCCTCTACTTTGCGATACTACATATGATAAATATATCAGCAATGATGTGAAAAACATGACATCATGTAAAATGTTTTTGTGGCCCAGGCAGGGAGTGATGGTCAGAGCATCGGCAACTGTCCCTTCTCCCAGCGTCTCTTCATGGTGCTGTGGCTGAAAGGAGTCACCTTCGATGTTACCACAGTGGATATGAAGAGGTGAAAACACTGGACTTACGTGTGCGTGTGTGTGTGTGCGTGTGTGTGTGCGCGCCCTTTTTTTCTTCCATCCCTCTCCTGCTGTGTAACTCTCTATCTCTTCACTGCTGGATGTCCGTTTCTGACGTTTCCATATTTCCGTCCACCTTTTTAGGAAGCCAGACATCTTGAAGGACCTGGCTCCAGGAGCCCAGCCTCCCTTCCTGCTGTATGGCAGCGAAGTGAAGACGGACACCAACAAGATCGAGGAGTTCCTGGAGGATAATCTCTGCCCTCCAAAGTAATCACTCCATGCATCTGTTTTATTTTGGTCTTTTTAGAGCTGAAACAACTAGTCGAGTGACGGAGGAATCAATAATTATTGTTTGTCATTTTTCATTTCCCCTCTTCAGGCTTCTCAATTGTGAGGATTTGCTTCTTTTCCTTGTTCTATGTGCTTGTAAATTCAATATCTTTGGACAAAAATAACAATTTAAGAAATCATCTCAGGCTTTGTGAGATACTAAAAGGAATTTTCACTCTTCTCTGTCATTTGTTCAACGAAACAATGAATGGATTCATTGAAAACAATCGTTAGTTGCAGCGGTAGTTGTTTTGCCTCCTACTTTGACTTTTTGCAGTTTTTGTGTCATAAATGCTCTCGGTCTAAGCCTTTCACATTTCATGCACAATTCATTGGTGTGGATTTTTGTTTGCAGTGTGATGTGATTTAAATGTGAATCATTATTGATCTCTCTGCTTGTTCAGGTATCCCCGTCTGGCTGCTCGTAACCCGGAGTCCAACACAGCCGGCATGGATGTTTTCTCCAAATTCTCTGCTTATGTGAAGAACTCAAACCCTGAGAAAAACGAAAGTAAGTAGATCTAACATTCCATCGAATTAAATGTGAGTCTTTTAAACGGAATCTAATTATTTCCTTCATCCAGACTTTTACATTTCGAATAGACACCCCTGTTTCTATTTTTGGTGGTATTTTCGGTAGCAGATACTGCTGAGCTCCTTCTGTCTGTCTCGGATGGACAACACCAGCAGGGAGCGTCCGAGTTAATACCATTATGGTCTGAGCTTTACTGCCTCACCTGCTCCCCTCTGTGTTGGGTGATCTCACTGGAAATGTCGCTGTTGTTGGGAGAAAGAATCTACTCACTTATCTCTTCAAATGAAACACACTCTTTTCAGCCATTTTAATAAATATAAAATAATTGCCTTCGTCTGAAACAGCTTAGATTTGCTCCAGTCTGTTTTGGAGGAACAAACTGGCTCTTTAGCTTTGATTCATATATTTTGTGGGTGTACATGTGCTCAGATCTAGAGAAAGGCCTACTGAAGGCTCTGAAGAAGCTGGATGACTACCTCGGCTCCCCGCTTCCCGACGAGATCGACGAGAATAGCACTGATGAGCTCACTTCCTCGTCCCGCCCCTTCCTGGACGACCAAGAGCTTACTCTGGCCGACTGCAACTTGCTGCCTAAGCTCCACATTGTGAAGGTAATCTTCGGTGCTTTAAGCTGTGCAGCGGGGGGGGGGCCCTGGGATGAATAGATAATAATGTTGACTGCATGTGTTCAGTCTGAAACTGAAGGCTTAAGTCCAGCATGTTTCTTTCTCTTTTCCCCTCTCCAGGTGGTGTGTTTAAAATACCGCAACTTCAGCATCCCTCAGTCTCTCACAAACCTCTGGAGGTACCTGAACGCAGCGTACGCCAGGCAGGAATTTGCCTCCACCTGCCCTATCGACGACGAGGTCCACATCGCATACTCCTGTGTAGCTAAAGCTCTCAAGTAGGAGCACAACAGGATGCACAAGTCATTAATACACCTGCACAGAAAACCACACATTTGCTCACCTGCACACACCAAGCATTCACTCTGCAAGCAACTCGGTCGACCTGTTTCTCAAGAGGCTTTCGTTGCGTCTGTTGTTCATGTAGTTATCCTGCTCTTTGTTTGCCACATGGATCAGTTTACACCAGGAGGGAAACAAACATGCGCACACACAAAAACAGTCAGCTGTAGTCAAATGTATTCCAAGTTTTCCTGGACATTCACCTCTGTAGGAAATGAATGGTTGATCACATTGCTTGCAGGCTCACACACACACACACACACTTAAAACTACGGCCTTGCTTGTGTACAGTTTCACCATCAGTAGATAGACTCTGTAAAGTTGTTTCTTGTTCCCTTTTTGATGTTTTCTGCGTTATATCTTTGTATTTTTGGGGGGATTTAACAGACACAAAGCTGCCTACCAGATCAAACTTTCACTAGTACCTTGCAAGCCTCACACAGTCTGATTCAACTGGGTTTTTTTTTTTCAGTCTTGGTGTGAAGGAAGTAGACACATGCGTACCATCGCCAGCTCAACTGCCAAAGTGATGTGATTTGTCTGTAATCGCAAAGCTTCACATTTCCTTTTTATTGTTTCATTACTGAGGGAACAAGGCCTTTTAACAGTTGTTGTTTTATTCATATTTTATTTTATTAAATAGATTTCTTGTTCCTCATAGTGCACCTCAGAAAGGAAGTGAGGTGCTTTTCCTCTGCGGCCTGCAAGACCAGTTCTCGCTTTAGGGAGGCAGAAACTTCTGAAAACGGTTACAGAGACAGGAAACCATTTCAATAGACTCGGGCTTCCCCTTTCTGCACTGCCCCAGCGGGCGCCAAGGATTATTCAAGATTACCGAGCTTGTTTGTGATCCGCTGTCGGGGCCTCTTGCCAACAGTTTATTTAGTTCTGCCGGTCACATATGAAGGATCCTTTTTAGTGTCGTATAAATGCGGGAGCTCAGATTGTGAGTGTATTAAAGTTAAAAGCTGAAAGCACTTGCAGTAGCTCTGGTAGCTCATTGCCCAAGACCTCTTCTGTCTCGTGTTTCTGAAGAGGCAAAGAAACCCAGCAGGAAGTTCAGTGTAAACATGCAAAGATATGCATGTGTAAAATACGAAATCGCACTTATTGTCCTGATGATCGTCCAAATACTTCAAACTTTCAAAACGGCACTAAAACACAGTGGAATCACGCTCCCTTCCATTTTGTTAAGAAATATATATTTTTATTGCCACGCAGATGGGACACACCCCCTTTTTTATGAAAACCGATCTTAAATAGATCACAGTTCATAACGTCCCCCTGCATACATAGAAACATTGTATGAGTCCGTTGTTTCTAACATAACTCCTTTTAAAATCAGCCTCTATTTTATCACTTTTTCAAGTTAATTATGCGAGGATATTCAAGCTCATGTGGCTCAATGAGGCCTTTCTGGCTCTGCGGATGGTTTTGCTTTTTTTTTAATGGGAATTGTTGATAATTGGAAACATTTGTAACATCACTCAACTCATCCTTAAATCAGTAACCTTCTATATTGAGTGATTGCAGGCTGTCACTTAACAGTGTCGCCAGTCGGGTTAATCCACTCTTGTTGAGCTTGATAGTCTGAAGCAATTATATATAGTAGTATAGTATTATATATTAACTGCTGGGAAGAACTGGACCCAATAAGAACACGCCTTGTCCGACGGTTTTATTCATCACATCAGCGACTATGCAAATGAACATTTATGGAGGCTGTTTGCAGTTAAGACTTGTTGTGAGCTCAAAATAGCGTCATCTTTCACATCTATTTTACCTAAGTGCAATTTAAGCCTGTTGGAAAGACAATCTTTGTACGTCCAGTGGGAGCACAGCTAGTTATTTTTCTACATGATTTTACTTCAATCCCTCCTGAGAGGCGTAATGCAAGTGTTGATCAAAGAGATGATTATGTATATTTTATATTGACTGAATGGATTTCATCTATTTTCTAAATATGGAGCAACATTTAAAGGGACTGTCTGAATAAGTTCAGTGCTGATGTATTTTAGTATTTCTTCTCTCCCAGTGTGGAAGAGTTTTTCCGCTTCTTACTGTCGTACAGAATTTCAGGGACAATTTAACTTGATATATTCATTCAAATGTCTTTAGATTTTTTTTCACTTCACTTTTTAAAAAGAAATGTTCCTGTATTTGAAACTCATATTTCGTTTTTGACTTTGTTTCCTACCCCTATGAATTCCCCTACACATATTTTGACCTTTTCTCTTTGTATTTTTGCATGTATTCTCTCACTCGCACTGAAAACAAACAGCGGTGTGTAAACTAACCCAGTGGATTCAAACTAATGGCACAGCTGAAATGTATTTTGTGCTTAAAAGCCTTTACAAAGATACATTTATTAATATCCCAATAAAGAAATATCTTGATAATAAATCCGTTTAGAGTTGTGTTTTTATTTTATTTTTTCACCGTTACGGAGGGTAACAACGTGGAGATGGTCAAAAACACATTATTCTGTATCAGTAGAATGCTGAAAGCTTAGAACGCATGTAAACGATTGTAAACATGTCAGTACAGTAATTCAGAAAATAATATCTGTAATATCACAAAGCAAATACACAGAGCATAAATATAAATAAGGCATCTCTTCAGTGTAGATTTAGTTCTAAGTTTTATTAGCATTATGTCATCATTAATGTCATTTGGAGATACACTGATACATGCCCAATCTAAGGGTATTGTCTAAAACAAATATGTATTTTGAGTTTCAAACCTCGAGATCCATTTAGTATCTCTTCTGGAGCTTTCGCCCAGTTGACATGGAAATGTGGACGTTCAAATAGAGACTTTTTCTGAGTATTTTAAGGATTTCTTATCCACGTTGGTGTGAAAGTTCAAGGTTCGTTCTTGACATTTGAAACAAGTTGATAAAGCTCTCTAACTTCAATTCAGTAGCTGTTCTGCAGCTTTCCGTCATATCGCATGATCTTCATCTGTTTCAAAAATGTTTCAAAAAAATTAATTTAAATATTTAAACTTAAAGTTGGGCGGAGAAGTCTTGAGCGTCTACTTATTTGTTGATGAAGCTCATGATATGATCGAAAGCTCCACAACAGCCACTAAAAGGACCTTGAGGTGATAATGTTTTGTCAGCTGCTGTTTTATGGGTAAAGAATGAACTATTAAAAATAACTTTATTAATGGAAATCTTTTCAAGTGTGATTACCTGAACTGAGCAAAATCGTATATACTGATGATCCAGAACAATGGACCTTGAGCTGAAATAGTTTTTTAACAATATATATTTTGATATTGGTCTGTTATTTTTTTTATTACAATAGTGTGGCATTTGCGTTTTTGTGTTGGTCTTTCTACGTCACGTTTTTCTATTAACATTTTTAATGTTATTGATTTATTTTTTGACCTTTTTGATAAAAGTAGATGCTATGGATTGGAAAATATCACATAATATGGGCCAGTTCATCACTAATACAACATGTTCCCTGTTAATTTGTTATAAAAAAAAAAGGAATTTAAAACCCCCGCTGTCTCATGTGCCTATGAGTATACATCTTTTCCAGGTCACTCACATCTTCAATATTCGGTGTGAAGCTGTGACCCCGTCCCGACCCCCACCACCCACCTCTGATGTTCAGGCCAGCAGCCGAGTGAGTGCAGGCAGCAGGCAGAGAGCCGCTCCTCCCCAGCTGAGGGCAGCAAAGGACTCGGCCCCGTTACAAAGGTCTGTATCGCAGCAGATATTGGTGTAGTTGAAGTAGAGGCCTGAGGCGTATTTCTGTCCACTCACACCGCACTGGGACGGGACTGCACAGCTCTTCTCGTACATCGTCACTTGTAGAGAGCCTATACGAGAGAAGGGAGGCGAGTTTATTGTGGTGCTCATTGAAAACTGCCCGAGCATTTAGGGGTTAACCTGCATGTGAAAAAGAAAGAAGGGGCTTTATGAGACACAGAAAACGTTTTTGCTCCACCCACGAAGCCCAGAGAGCTATTTTTAGAGATTTGATGGCATCACAGGCATTAGTGATCTGACAACCGGCCTGAAGAGAGATGAGAGCCGATCCTTTGAGTCTTTCTTTTGTCTCGTTTTGTTTTTACACTTATGGAGGTGAGACATGACCAGGGCTGAGAGAAAGCACTGAAAACAAATTAAAAAAAAATATTTTAGTATCCATAGATACAACGCACAGAAAGTGTGTGTTTAATTTTTCTAACTTAAACCAGTTATTTAACATCCGGTTTTGTTCCAGATTTTGGAGGTTTCTGGGTTTTCCTCAGCAAATCCATAAAACTCAATTGAGTTGTCCAGATAACTCAATAAACTTGCTTCTCAGAACTGGTCCCCCATATCCAGGATTTAAAATAAAACTTTAACTTAATAGCCATTGTTTCTCCTCAAATCCAAAACAAAACTGTCCTAATGCATATTTGCAGTATGGTGTACGCTTCTAAAATCTGGTCCCAGACAATGTACGGTACAATGAGGCTTTGTTTGCCAATTTGTGACCATCCTGCCCTAGATTCTCAGAAAATAATCCCATCTACAGACACAGAAATAAACTCTTATACACACGCACACACACACACACACACACACAGATCTGGATCTTACCCCGTTTTCCCATAGCAGTACTAGACAGGCAGCGCTGTCCGGCTGGACACTCCTGTGGAAACTTAAAGCAGTCCAGAGGAGAGATGGCCGGGAATAAACAGGTGTAGCAGCACAAGCAGGCTGAAGGAGACGATGGAAGAAAAATATGAAGAAACTCACTGTGAGCCTGATCGAATATTGACATTGATATTTAAGTTATAAAAATGTTCCACTGATGCATTGACTGACAACAGATAACAAGAAGTTTTAAAAGGGATTCTTGAATAATTATTTTTTTTTAAAACAGGCTTCAGTAATCACAGTTAGAGCAACTACAAGGAACTTTTATTTAGTGTTGATTTGTGCAGCCCCTGTGGACAAAGGCGGTAGTGATTCCATGAGCACTGCCTCGTGTCGAAAATATGCAAAAAATGTAATTCTCTGAAGAAGAATCTCCCGCTGCTTCCTGTCTACTGGCTAACACACTTCAGACTTTACCTGTGAACATGTGAACATGGACTCTTCCGGTCTGCATGCTGTCAATTACTTTGTCTGACTTTGTGCACAATCGAAACTTGCAACAGTCATTGAGAAAAATTGTAGTTGTAGTAACTTTATTTACAGTCAGAATAAGCTTGCCAGTCCTCTCTTTGTACAAACTATGAACCATAGAGACACTGTTTGTATATATGCAGACACCAATTCATCGTTGAGGAGCTACTATTGTCCAATATATGGGCTGGACAATGGCAAGACATTCTGCAAATTGGAAAAAATGTATAATCTTTGATAATTCCTTAACGCATTCCAGTTATATGGGCAATCAATTCAGCGTGAATAGATCCTTATAAATAAATAAAAATGATGTAAAACTGAACTCCATACCTGCCAAAGGTAGACAACACAGCAGGACAATCACAAGTTGTGAACCAGACATGTTGCTTCCAGTAAGAAGTCCTCAAATCGTTTCCAGTTATCGATTCAAGCACGTACAAAAATCCCCGTCTTGGTACGTTACAGCTCGCTCATTCAAACTAAACGCTACGTCCCACAACTCACTCCGTAATCAAATTTTACTTGTGAGCTCACACCCTCCGTCTTTTAATCCTGTTTTTTCTTTCTATTAAGCGGATAAAAATGGCACCACCTCGAAGGTAGTTTGTATTGTCAGCACCTTTAGGTTCAGGAAGAAGTTTTATCTTGATGTCACTCTTGTTCTTCTATCTTCGTCTTGAATACCTATGGTACTCAGTGTCTCCTCCCTGAACCAAATTTCATTTGGAGCAGTAATTGTGATCAGCTGACGTAGTTAAAGATAGTCTCAAGAGTGAGAGTTAAGTTTTGTATTCAGTTGCTGTTCATTTTTATATCACACAGAGCAACCCCTCGCAACAACAGGAAGTGAGTTTAATACAGCTGAATGAGATGACCTCTGACCTCAAAGGAAAGGAGGTAGAGCAAAAATGTTTGAGACAAAAGTATTGAATGAGTGGTTTTATTTGTACATAACTTTATTTATATGTCATTTAGAGGTAAACTGAACACTTTAAAGTGGAAATGTTTCTATGCTTGTCCAGGAAAACAGAAAATGCAGGCGCCAGGTGACAATTCAAAATATAAAAATATATGATGTATATCATATTCAGGCCCTCAGGCATTCTGTATTGCTTTCAAATGTTGTATCCTGTAGATGTGCTTCTCATGTAATGTTATCCCTGTTGGTGAACACTAATGCCTCCTCTCTTCTTCTCCTCGCCTATCTTTCTGCACAAGATGGAAAATGAGTCAGGCAATTGCTCTCAGTGATTCTGCAATAAATATTATCTGTATTGGTTAAAGTAAGGTGTTTATGTATTGTGTGTGTGTGCATGAGACAGTAGCTAGAAAGCTGCTAAGAAGTCAGAAAAGACAGCACTGAAGTCAGCACAGAGGAGAAAGAGTCAGCATCTTAGAAAGAGAAAGAAACAGAGAGAGAGAGAGAAAGTCAGCATGTCAGAGACAGAGAGTCAGTGAGTTGGAGAGCGAGGCACTTTAACTGAATTATCCTTTAGGGCGTAATAGGAAACATGAGGACAGCGTGCAGGACGGTCTGCTGACAGCAGTCTGGTGATGGAGCGAGCCAAGCAGGCTCAGACTGAATAAGCTGTTTACCAGTTGATTAATGACAGAGCACACGGCCTAAAAGCCTGAAAAAAAGTCCTTTGAAATGTTGACAGACTCCTGCTAGGTTCAGATGCTAACAGCTTTCACAACGCCTTTGCTTTGATTTCTCTTGTTTGTTTACTTTAATCTGGATGATATGTTGTACGCTGAAATCAGTGGGCTTAGACAAGTCATATGTGTGTGTGTAGGCACTTGTTTTACATTTTCTATTGAAAATGTTTGATACAACCAACACTTTTGACACAATGATTGAAAGAATACAAAGACAAGAACTGACTGACTGACACTGACATACAGTTGTTGTGTATTGCCTCTTTCTTAATGGACATTTTGTCCATTTGTGCCAGCTGTGTTAGAACAGATAAGGTGCTGAGGGTCTTTCATTGTAGGGGAGTGGAGGATACTGTTTTTAAAGACTGTGTGGTAAACTTGCAGATCCTACATTTGACTGTGATGATTTGTGTGCTGGCTGAAGGATCTCAGTGAACAGATGGTATTCTTTAATCCTGTCTGTGCCAACATCATTTTGACCCACATTTCAGGAAAAGCCAGATTATTATTTTGGTTCGTGTCACACAGACAAAAAACAGACGACGACGACGACGACTCGGTAATCTTTGATGCATTTGATCAGAGGACGATGATAAAAACAGCCCGATCAAATAAATCCACTGTGAACCTGGTTAGGTTAATGCAGGCTTAATTAACACCACTGTGGGAGAGGTGAGGAGGATAATTACACAGATAGTCCAAGTTTGTATTTAGATACAACCTGACCTTACATAAACAATGTATGATCAAGGGGAGACTAAAGGCATAGAAGTACTCCAATCCATCATTAATTCAATGTCTCAATAAGAGGGAAGGGTGTCAGAGTAGGGATTTCATCAGTTGGGCCTTAATGCTTAACTTTCTGGAATTTGTATAAAAAAGGTCAAAGTATAATTTGTTGAAAAAAAGTCATAGTATAGTGTGTCGTATGTCATTGTATACTTGGAGTCCTGCACTCTGTCCTGCCGTCTGCCCGTCAAGTGAAGCTTGATCCGGCATACCACGATGGAGGTCTCTGTAAAGATGTGGGCTCAACAGTCATCGACCTCCCTTTGATGCTTTTGCTTAAAAATAAATTCACAGTATGTTGAAAAAAGTCATGGTATATTATGTTGAATGTTAGCGTCAGTCATAGGATTCAAGGATTATTCATTTTTTATTATGCAACACAAGAAAAACATGACAAACAAAACAAAAACAATGGTGTATTCCTGTAGCGCATTTTTTTAATTTGCAGGAGGAACGTAAACAGCAGCAACAACAATTCTCTGGGGAGATAATTTAACAGAAAAAATCATAGTATAGCATGTCAAACATATTCATAAAAATCATAGTATAGCATGTCAAAAATATTCATAAAAATCATAGTATAGCATGTCAAACATATTCATAAAAATCATAGTATAGCATGTCACAAATATTCATAAAAATCATAGTATAGCATGTCACAAATATTCATAAAAATCATAGTATAGCATGTCAAAAATATTCATAAAAAGTCATAGTATAGCATGTCAAAAATATTCATAAAAATCATAGTATAGCATGTCACAAATATTCATAAAAAGTCATAGTATAGCATGTCTAAAAAAATCACAAGTCATATTATAGTATGTTGAAAAAAACCATACAAAATTCATAGCATAATATGTCAAAAAGTCATAGTATAGCATGGCATATTTTTTTTACATGCTACACTAGCATTTAGTTTTTACTTTTTTATGACAAACTATCCTATATTTTTATGATTTTTTATACTTTTACATTTTTTATTACATACTATACCTTTATTAATGCACACTATACTACGCAATTTTTGGGCATTTTTTATGGTATACTATATTAATATTTTTATGACAAACTATGCTATGGCAATTTGTTTATTATGGTATACTTTACTATGAGATTTTTATAGATGTAGTCATGACATTTTTTATAGTATGCTATGGTTTTATATTATGACAGTATTACTTTTTATGACATACTATATCATGAAACACATTATTATGACAATTTTCATGATATTTTTAAACTACATTTTTGTGACGTACTATACCATGACATTTCCAACGGCTTTTTATGACATTCTATACTATGACATTTTCAATGAAATATGGCTCCTATATATATATATATATATATATATATATATATATATATATATATACTTTTTTTTTATGGCATACTATACTTTCCTATTCCTATTTTTTTACATACTGGATCATTCATTTTTCTTGAAATACTATACTATGAAAATGTTTATGACATTCTTATGGAATAATATACTTGGACATTTTATAAAATACTTACATTATTTTTATAGCAAACCAAACGTATCATACGAAACTATGACTTTTTTTTATGGCTTTTTTATGGCATGCCATACTGTGACATTTATATGACCTTTTAATGGCATACTAAAAAACATGACTTATTTCATGACATTTTGTGGCATTTTCTATGAGATACTATACTATGACCTTTTTATGAAGTCTTTTTATGAGACACTAAACTGTGAATATAAAAATCGGAGGGTCCAGTATGTCTCAAAAAACCGTCAGATTGAAGAAGAGATACTTTTACTCTAAACTTCAACAGAAAATGTTACGCTTGGGATGCTGTTCTCACCGTTTTTGATTACCATCATGTTTAGCTACAGTCAACATTATTGACAGACAGCCAATAAAATTCTCTAATCAACCTTGATTGAAACCGGACAGGGCGTGTGGGGGATGGGGGTGCGTGGATGAAAGGGAGCGAGGGCTGTGTCAAACTAAAGTTAAAAACGCAAAAAAAGGCCGGAAAACGAGCGATTTGGCTTTAACAAAATAAGAGCATAACGTTCCCTAAAACGAGTACGTATAGCCTCTATGCATATAATGCTTTGTTTTTAGATTAATCACCACTGTGTTTGGGTTATAATACATCAGCAACTTGATAAAGAGAGATGTGGGGTGATATTGTCAACCATGAGGTAGATGAGATGACACAAAGTTCAAAACTCACGGGCTCCTCGTAGCCGTTTTATTTTGAAATACTTAGCCGGAACTGTTCACATTCACAGTCGCGTCTTGACTTGACATGAAAGCTCAGTTAGTTGGTCCGCAGAGAAAGACAACGGGAGAATAACGGGAACTGGCTGGAAATTAAATCGAACGAGAAAAACGCGGCGGAGCGTGAAAGCTGAAACAATCAGGTAAGATATGCTTCTAAATCCGCCATGTTATTTGTTATTTGTGCAACTTCTGGGAGTGTTAGTGACACTTTCCCCATTGGAAAGATGTGGAGCCATCATCAGGAGTAGCGCTCGCTGTGAACTGTTGACGTTATTTGGGAAGGAGCGGTGAACTGCAGGGCGGTGCACTCCTGCAGCCTCACTGCTTTTGTTCTGGACTATGGTTCATTACTGTAGCTGGATAACTCAGGACTACGCAGTTAAAAGGAGACATTTATGGTAAATAGTCAAAACACAAAATAGTGCGCCAACGTGTCATTGATCTCGTTAGGAGGTCTCTACAGACCCAAACAACAGTGGATTTAAGCACCGTTAACTGTGATTTCACAGCATCAACTTGCAAGGAAGTATCCTTAAAAAGCTCTCCGTGCTGCCTTTTATTAAAAAAAAAGCAAATGAATATCAAAGATCAGCACTTGTTGCGTAAGTTGTGATTCAGATTTAGGAAACATCCTGTGTGGAAGTCCCGTTCTGCAGCCTCATCATGGGCGACTGCTGCGCGGTACAGGGAAGATGATGAAAGGGCAATTGTCCTGAATCTCACACACTGCCCAAACATGGGAAGGCTGGGCAGCATATTGTAGGGACACTGAAGAATGGTTCCTTCTTAATCTGGCTTTGGACAATGCTGCTATTTGTCTACTGTCAACTGTGCTGTCTCTTTTAATTCTGCAGACCTTGGATGAATTACGGGTGATAATGTCTACTTTTACAATTTAAATATCACCATTTCATATTAGTGCAATTCTTTAGTGCCATGCTTCATGTTAATCTCTATAATAATGTCACAGATATTATGGCCTTGAGATGTTTGTATCCCACAAGAGGTGACATTTGTTTCATTGTTCCTGGCTTTGTTTAATGTGTCCATCTCCCTCTTTCTCAGGCTGGAATCTTCTGCTTCCTCTTCCTGGAGGTGGGAATAGCCGGTGGGAGTACTGGAATGAAGGAAGAAGCAGAGAGACAGTGATGAAGATGCTCTCCACGTTCAATTTACACTTTAGCTGGTGTTAGTTTTTGCAAGTTTAGACTGAAGAAGTTGATAACACACATCTTTTTATTACCTCTTGCTTGTCTTCTGGCAGAGTCAACTTATCGGCATCTTGGCAGAACACCAATACAACCACTTTTTACAGACAGACAGACAGTCATCAGTTCGTTGGAATCATGGCAAACATGTGCCCATATGGCCGCTTCACCCACGCCGTGGTGCGGGGCATCCCGGAGACCTTTGGGAAAGCGGTGGAGGGCGGTCGTGAGAACGCGGAGACCTCGGTGGACCTGGCCAAAGCTCAGCGTCAGTTCGGTTGCCTGACCGGAGCCCTGAGACAGAAGGTGGGCCTGCAGCTGATCGAGATCCCCCCTGACCCCGAGCTGCCAGACAGCTGGAGGATAGAGGATGTGGCCGTCATCCAGGGAGACACGGCGCTCATCACCAGGCCCCTCAAACAGCAGAGACGCAGCGAGGTGACGCGGCTTAAGTTCAGCACCATAATCCTCTGACAATGCACTTAATCTGGCTTTGTCTGATAAAGGGCAGCAAGCAGTAGACATTTGTTTCAGTTCATATCATTATGGTGAGAGAATGACCTTGCAACAGATACTTCACTTGTTTAGATGTAATTAAATTGCCTTTTGGAACCCATATTATCTGAGACGTAAGGGTAGACTTAAGAAAACCACCTTTTCAAACCAAGAGGTGACGAAAATGAAATCGTCATCATGACGCCCATGTTTGTGTTGACATTTGTTCTTAAAGTTTGATTTCTCAAAGCACTCTAATGTGTTTTTCCGGAGAGGGAATTCATTCTATTGTAGATGTCAGAGGTTCTGTTGACACATTATTTTAAGGGTCTGTGAATTATTTCCAAACAAAAAAGAAATCCTGGAAAGAATTATGAAATTTGATACTAATTATTGGAGAAATAAGGATACAATTCAAATGATACACATCCAAATACTAATTAGTTATGCTTTATTTTACAGGTCTGTAATATCCTAATGTTTTTTCTGGCAAGTTCAGTGGAAACAATGAAATTTGGTCCTAAAATTCCTTCCTTCTCTTTACTCTTCTCTCCAGGTGGAGGCAGTGAGGAGGGTGGTGTCGGAGCTGAATCTGACTGTGGTGGAGATGAGGGCCGAGGAGGGGGACTCCGGAGGGGCCACGCTGGAGGGCAGCGACGTCCTCTTCACGGGAAGAGAGTTCTTTGTCGGCATCTCCTCCCACACCAACCACAGAGGGGCGGAAGTACTGGCAGACACTTTCAGGGTAAGAGGCATGAGAGAGAAGATGAAGCAGACATATCGTCAAAGAGGTTTTTGTTTGGGTCTTTAAGTTATAACGGGTGTTAAAATGAGATGATGTACTTTGGAGGAACTTATCTAAATCCACTGCCAATGAATATATTCACTTTTTTGCCAGTGCAACAAAGACCATCTAAGAGCCAAGATGCTCGTCATAAAACAAACCCAGCTGCCGAAATGAGCAGGTGGCCATTTGCTGTGTCGCATTTGGGCAGTCCTGGTCCGTAAACAGTGATGAATGAGGCCGTTCAATTGGCCAAATAATGGAGACCACACAGTGGGGCCCTGCCGCGACCCCACCCGTTAGTATTGATTCCTCCACTTCTCTTAAGTGCACTTCAGCTACTCCTGAAACACACGCAGACACTTTGCATCTGTGCGGGTTTGTGTGTCCGTGTGTTGTTGCGTGTGTCGGGTATGAACTGGTGTCGGTGGGAGGGCTCATGTGGTCAGAACTGGGGATGAAAGGACGACCACTGAAATATTACACTGGCATTTTGCATGCTTTTAAGTTGTCATTCAGAAAATTCAATACGTATTTATCGTTGTAATAATAACTCTAAGTTGGAGTGAAAGCTAGTTATAGCCAGTTTTAGTCTTGTCTTCCTTTTAAGCAATACTTGAGGGACTATTCATACTAAGAGGTGGCAACTGCCTCTGATCCTTAACAAGAAACTCCAGAATCACACAACGGGCTACTCTGTGTCCAGCTACAAAGTAGTAAAAGTTTGGCACTTGAATAGAGATTATTCGTAACACTTTGTGCTTTGACAAACTAGACGAGGGGACATCAAAGAAACCTGGAGGGACAGCGTGTTGGTTAAACCTTTCTACCTCCGTCTGTTCAGGACTTTGCCGTATCCACCGTCCCCGTCTGCGGTGGCGCCCGACTGAGAAACGTCTGCTCCATGGGAGGTCCAGACACCATCATCATCAGCAACAGTGACGGGGCCAAGAAGACGCTCCGGGTACAGTGCTTGTATTTACAGTTGGTGTTCATGTACAGTATGTGTGTGTGCGTAAGGTGCTAAGAAATATAAAATAGCTTTCAAGGAATGGAAAATTTAGGGAACGCGCTTAATTGCTTTCTTACCGAGAGTTAGATGAGTAGATCGATATTCATTCAGACTGTAGCCAATAGGCCACTTTAAAATGTACAAGGACAAGTCCAAGCAAAATCTCTGAATGCGTTTTTTTGAATTCATGAGGAAGATTTGAAGTGGATTTTAGTGATATGATATATTGGTATACTGATGACTCATTATTAGATAATGGAAAATGATGTCGTAGGCAGACTATCGAGCTTATTTTCCATCATACATAGAGTCTGTGTTTCCCTTCGCTCTGTCCGAACGTGAACTGCACACATCATTTATTTCCTAACTGCTGAGGTCATATTAATAATGGCACTAATGCTCCCTTTAGTGTGTAATGCTGGGCGTGGCCCGCTGCAGTGTGTGTGTGTCTGTGTGTGTGAGATAATAAGTGTGTGATAAGTGTGCATGTGTGTGTTTGCCTCCAGATGATGGAACAACTGACTGATCACCACTATGAAGTGCTCACTGTTCCAGAGGAATCGGCAGCAAACTGCATCTACATCAAAGGTCCGTCTAAGCTGGACTTCCTGCTCCACCGGCCTGCAGAGGAATGTCCCGACAGTGTCTCTGTGAGTACAGCTGGGGATTTAATTTCTTTATTGCAGGCCTCGGGTTCAAAAAGACACTCATCTTTGTTAAATTAAAGGGTTACGGCAGCTTTATCTTATCCCTGGCAATTTCATGTTGCACTACCCTAAAGCTGGGGCACTCACAGGAGACGGATAGGATAGTCAAAATCAAAACTGCAGAGGTCAAAATATCCTGATTAAACATTGGATCACTCGCAGCACTATCCTTCAATGTTGACCTGTTACAAATGTTAAAATATCTTAAATTGTATCTGCTCACATTGTTTTCTTCTTTCAGAATACCGTGTTAAAAGGTGACTTTAGAAAATAGACACTTCCACAATGTTTGCTTTGATGCATTAGAAAAGGTACAAAACACAGGCGATAATTATTTTGCCGACTGTATGATTGATGTTCTAAATTTTAATCAAATAAGACAAATCAAGAACATTCAGTCGGCAATACCAGCTGCTTAGGTCCCGTTTCTTCTTTTGTTAGCCAGGAGTTTGACATAAGTGTCTGGATGAGTAAGTCACTTCCTCCCTCCTCTCTGCAGGCTTTCCAGAAGCTACAGGACTACACCCTCCTGCCTACAGCCTGCAGCGAGGCATCCAAACTGGGAGCGTCTCTGTCCTCGCTCTGCCTCCTCATTAACAGAAAGCACACGTATTTCTGAAAACATTTCTGACCGTCGGTATGCTTCACAGCGTTTACATGTTCACGGTGGGGTGAAATAAACACTTCACAGTGTACTATTCTGATCTATTTATTTCTTGGGGAAAACACATCTGCTAACCTCAAACTTTAACATAACTATCCGTGAAGCCACTAAATTCAGTTTCACTGTTTTTACTTTTGATCATCACTTTTCCAGTTTCTGCAGACTAACTTTAAGAAATGTAAAAAACTATGGTACCAAATTGACAGAATGCAATTTAATGGTTCAAATATACCAAAGTATGAAGGGAAACGGTACAGCTGTGAAAATGGAACCTAGGTAAACAGTCTCAAATTGACACACGCCTATATTAACCACGATGGCACCAAAGGCAAAAAGTTACTTATGTAATTACATTTTAAGACTAATGCTTTGAGGAAGTTGGAGTACTTTCAGACCTGCAGATTTGTAGAATGTCGCTATAATACTTGTTTTAGTATAGTCGTTTTACTGACTCAATTTACAGGATGTGTAGCTGCTACAATAAAACTGCAGAGTTTTTATAAATAATTAGCTTTCATATGTGAGTTTGTAGAAAGTGTTGTGATGCCAATAAACTAAGTGAAAAAGACAGTTATCTTGTGTAATTGATTTTGCCCGTTCACTGTCGAAGACAGCTGTGAAGAAAAAACAAGGACTCAAAACCTCAGGAAACTTCTTCCAATTTATTTGTTTTGTTAGAAAGCAAAGATTTTAACGGTTGGACTTGGCAACTCTCTCCAACTCGTCCTTCTTCTTGATGGCATAAGAGTTAGATGAACCCTGAAATTAGGAGAATCAGCAGTTAACATACTCAAACGTGACCAGGATTATAGGTTATGTTTAATGTCCACTAACGTGAACACATGTTGAGTTATCTGTAACGGCACACTTTGAATCTGGATGAACTGTTACCTTTGCGGCGTTGATCAGCTCATCGGCCAGGCACTCGGCGATAGTCTTGATGTTCCTGAAAGCAGCTTCTCTTGCTCCTGTGCACAGCAGCCAGATGGCCTACAAGACGACAGAGCAGCACATTAGTGACCGAAACATTCACATTGGTGGAATAAACCACTGACCGCCAGAAGTGTAATGTATCTGAGTTGGTGATTGACTGGGTCACAACAGACTACAGCCAATGAATAAGCAAAGATATTTCCTCTACGAGCACTCTAGCACACCAGGATAATGGGAGATACCCAGGCGTGACTCTAGCCTCGCTTATTGCATGAAATACAAACAACTATTACAGCTAATGAGAATAAAGCAGCCTTCACTTAAAAAAAAAGAAAAAGGAATATATATTGGTGAGAAACACTTTCTTGCTGTTGCTCACAGAAATTGTAAAATAAATAACTGCAACCTGATATTTTTGGACTTTTATAACCATATCTAATAAAATTAAAGTCAGTCTAAATCTTTTCTCATTCAGTTAATTTGGAAGACATGTGAAAGCATGACACCTTTAATGGTTTTGTTGTAATGCTACATACTGAATGAACGATTACCTCCAGACTTTAAAAGAACAGTTTTTAATGTAGATTAGTGTGGTTACCTGGTTGACTCTGCGGAGGGGTGACACATCCACAGCCTGCCTCCTGACGGTACCAGCACGACCGATACGGGTGGAGTCCTCACGGGGTCCGCTGTTGATGATGGCGTTCACCAAGACCTGGAGGGGATTCTGGGAACAAACATTAAAACAATAGTAAGAAATTCCTATTAAAGCAAAACCTGTGGCAACATCAAGAAAGATATCCGTGGCAGCACAGGATACAAACTGAAACCTGACAAAGTTCTGGTAATCTGCTCAATGTTGTATTACTGCCAGCAATATCTTCAAGTAGTGCTCTGGGCTCTACTGTATATCTGATGTCCCTACAAACTGACTTCTGTAATAGGCACCAGAAATGGGACAAATGTTTTTTTTCAATTAGCACAAACAATCCGAGTTGACTCCACACGGGCACCCGGCTACAGTTGTCTGCTATAAAACATTTTAGAGCAAAATATACAACTGTTAAATCTGTCTGGATTTAAAAATAACTAAATAATCAGCTTCTTTCAAAATGTAATTTTGCTTTCCAGTGTAACAGACCGACTCAAATACAAACTATGAGAAGCTCTAGTGTATGAAAATGTGTCCCATACGATCGGTTGGAGTCCGTTAATCGTGTATAACAGTTCACTTTTTCCTGTAGCTTATAATCAATTGATGCCTTCCAAATATCTGCCTTTATGCTGCACACACTAAACCAAAGTGAGATTTTTGTGAATGTTAGTGGTACACACCTCTCCAGTCAGCAGGTGGATGATCTCGAAGGCGTGCTTGACGATGCGCACGGTCATCAGCTTCTTGCCGTTGTTGCGGCCGTGCATCATCATGGAGTTGGTCAGACGCTCCACAATGGGGCACTGGGCCTTACGGAAACGCTTGGCAGCATAACGTCCTCCAGAGTGTGGCAGGTACTTGGCGTACTTCTCTTTCACAGCAATGTAATCCTGTTGTGCACAAAGAGTGAGTTAAACATCATGGTTAATGCAGATTTTAATCCAGCGCTGTTGAAGTACAGTATGTATGAAGAGATAGTGTGTCTGAGTTGGTGATTGACTGGGTCACAACAGACTACAGCCAATGAATAAGCAAAGACATTTACTCTGCGAGCACTCTAGCACACCAGGTCAACGGGTCAGTGACCAGGCGTGACTCTAGCCTCGCTTAATTCATGAAATACAATCTATTTCAGATAACAAAAATAAAACAGCTTCGGTAATAAAAAGGAAGATGGAAAGGATGTATAGAAATACAACAAAGAATTCTAGAAACGGCTTCTTACCTGCAGAGAGATGTCATTGATCTGGACATCGTCGGTGCTCCACTTGCCGAAAAGTTTGATCTCCGGGGACTCAGCCACGGCTGGGGCAGTCTCCCACTCAGTCACTGGGGATGCAATACAAGCAGTGGTCAATTCAAGCCAAGGACACAGAGCACATCACACCAACACAGCCTTGTGTGCACATCAGTTTCTCCTCAAACATTTTCCTTTTCTGAGAGTCAATCATTGTATCAGTTCTGAATCAATTTGAACGTAACGAAATATTTAACATCGGGAAATATGATAATAGCAATAAGACGTAACAATGAACTACACTAATTGAGATTGATAGCTACATAGCAGTTGGTGTAAACCTAACCGACGTCACATAAACACCTAGGTTTACATTTCTCTTTAACTAAGATCACTTATGATCAAATGCAATGCCCATACGTGGGATAAAACAGCCACTTTCTCAGCAGGGCCCGAGCTGAAGCCTGCTCCTCCAAAGTTAACGTAACGTTAGCTGTCAGCTTACATGCTACCGCGAATAATTGTGACATTTTACATTCGTATACAGATGTGGTGTATTCTTCATTAATAACGTAACGGCAGTAAGTATACCTTTGCTACATTTTGTCAAATAAAGCACTGAGCTCGCGATCTATCGAGGTCGCTGATTAACATGCCGCATCCACATGTGCTAGCAAGCTAGCCACATGCTAACGCTCGGCGCCGTTGTGCTCGTTGGGAAAGTCTTAGTGGAAATAAAACAACATTTCGGCAAACTTAGATGTTTTATCTCTATCTGTCGAACAACATGAACTAGTGTTGATTCCAAATATCCGAGAACAATCTTTTTCAGGACAAATGAAGCGAGCAAAAGCTTAATTCTTCACTCACTTGTCTCTGCCGTTGTGTACCACACTTCTCTGAGACGGAAAAGGGCCTTTTCGAGGCGCCGCGTGCAGATATCCGGTGAGATGGTCGGGTCCTTCCGGGGCGCTAGGCATGTAGGGAATTGTAGTCCTTTCTTTTAGAATGGCTCTGACTAAAAGTGTGTCGCCTGCGCGATGCAGAATGCTTACAACGTGAAATACGCTGATGAAGATTTTGCTTTAGTTTATTTGTTTTCATGTTAATATTACTTTTCTGTCCTTTTATATTTTTTCAGTTTTTCTTATAATTCTGTCTGTGTGCACTGTAAATAAAGGAATGGATGATTTACTTATTAGCTAAACTGTAAAATACATTTCATCTTTTTCACAGTTCCATGAATCGACATAATGATTTTGAAAGTGAGTATCTGGCATAAATGTAACACCTATTCATGACAGAAATGACAAAAAGAAGAAGCCAAAATCGATATTTGAGTATAATAAATATGATAATATTTTTTGGATATTCATTGTGTATTATAAAAACATAAAATACATTTTGATAAGTATCCCATAAACAAGTGTCTCGAAAGAGACGATATTAGCACTGAGATGTTTAACTTATAGTCAAAAACTATAAATGTAAATTTGAATAATTAATTTCACTGAAAATTGAATTCGTAACAAAAAAACATTAATCCAAATATACCAAAAACATAATATAAGTCAATAAGACAAATACATTTCAGTTAAGTCTCACATACAGTATATGTATTAGGAAAAACTTTGTTTTAAGAGGATTAAGTAGTACATACAAATAAAAAAAAAAAAGCTAATCTGAATTGAACAACTAATTATCTTCTGAAATGTTGTTCTGATGTGTCTTGTGACTTTGACCTATACTTCCAGTTTATTTACCCATCATAATATGCTAGTTTGTTAAATTGTTATGAGGTGGTAGAGTGCTTCCAAACATGGTTAGACAAGAACCATCCCTGGCAATACATTCTAACACAAAAAAATGTTTAAAACTGTCTTTTATTGAGGAATAGACAACATTTGACACATTTTCATATGCGAACCAGAGACTGTAGAAATTGTAGGAGTCAAAATAGTAGTTGCTGTTTTGAATTTTTAGAAAATGGTACATAACTACATTTACTGTTTTCATGACAAGGATATCCCTTAAATAGTTAATTAACTTGTACAAGTACACATTAAACAAAGGATGCAACAATATCGAAATAGTACTGCAAATCTACAACTTTAAAACAGTTAAAATCATCCCATTTCCCTTGTTTTTTTATTCTGGTTAAACCATGTGCAAAGCATACATTTTTACTAAATAAAAGACATTCACTTCTTGTTTTATCCCACAAAAGATATTTCCATTCCTTTTCTTCATTTGAGAAACATCTATAAAGTACATAAACATCCAACAAAATGCAAGAGAAGGATCAATTCCTTTTCCAACAAGTGGACAAAACACGAAGGTTGCTCAAACGCCTGAGATATCTAAATGCGATGGAGGTAAAGAGCGCCACGTACAATGGTCTGGTCGACAAGTAAACACTAATATAGCACTGCCACTCTCCGGCCACTCCTCTATCTCATTATTCTTTTAGCACAGTCACTAAAGGCAGCGTGTCGTAGCACTTCGGTATGAGACATGAAACACAGGGACGAGGGGAAACTTTAAGGCTCAATCTACTAAAGCTCCAAAGCACTCCATGAAAATATTAATGAACATGATATTCATGATCAGATGTGCACACTAAAAGAACAGGAAAACATGACCCGCCTCGGGTTAAAAATGAAAGAATAAGAAGATATAAATTACTGCATCATATGATGAGCAGGGCAGTGAGTCTGTACATGGAGACAAGATGACAGAACATCGCTCAGGCACTGTTGTGTGGTGTTTTGAGGTATGTCTGACCAAACACACACAGACACACACATGGATATAAATACTGTATGTATGTGGGCATCGCTTTCATGCTAATTAAAGGGACTCAGCCTCATGGAGTCTTTCTCTCTCACTAGTCCCTATACTTTACTGAAATGCAATACTAAATTGCTGGACTGCTCCTTTAATGTATGATGTGCTGTATCGTTGCTGACTGTATTAACCCAAACCTAGTTAAACCTTTATCAAGTTTATATACATTTGTTGCTTCTGACGTTTTGTGCCTTGTGCTTATTTTATGAGAAAATATCTTCAGCACACAGACAGAGATGTGCTGGATTTGTCCAACAGCAGCAACACGGCCTAAAAGAGATCATGAAAGGAGCAGTTTTGTGAAATGCACGCATTCGCTTCTTGCCGAAAGTTAGAGAAGAAGAAGATCGATACCACTTTAACGTCCGTACAATAAATATGAACAGTCAGCAGTTAGTATGCAAACAGCGAGCCTGACTCTGTCCAAAGGTTAAAACAATCTGCCTACCAGCATCTCTAAAGCACACTAATTAACACATTACATCCTGTTTGTTTAATTTGTGCGTGTGGTTTATGGGGTTTTATTTCTTGGCTGCGAGCAGTATCTCCCTGGAGTTTCCACTGGTTGCCTGACACCCTCACTGTGACGATAAGACGTAACTGCATCTAGCCAAGAAATTGTCGGCACTGCGGTACATAACCTCCTTTTACACTTCAGTTGTTGTACAGTTGTAACAAACAACACAGAACATGTTGATTAGTGAACTTTAGAGGTGCTGGTAGGTGGATTTTGTCCGCTTTGGACCGAGCCAGGCTGTCTGTTTCCCTTTGTTTCTCGTCTTAATACGAAGCTAAGAAAGCAAATAAGTTTACATACAAAAATATCAAACTATTCCCTTTAAAGTGACCTAGTAGTTACGAGGATTAACATGAAAAGCAAGATGTATCAACGAGACACAAACCTCACCAGCAGAGAGTATAATTATCAAGTCATTTCTAAGAACTGTAATCCCCCAAAAAAATAGATTTCATCCTCACAAATGCTTGCGAGGGTACTTTAAAGTGGCCTTTCATACATGGTGGAAGTTAAGAGCTTATAAAACTGTAGGGTGTGTAACTCCGTGTGTGTATCTGTGTGAGTGTGCCGTCAAAGAGTTTTGCTCTACACCAGCCATTTCTCCATGCACATGTGGAACACCGTCTCGTTCTGGTGCCAAAACACGTGTTCGACGCCAGGAACAGAACAGACGATCAGATCTCCACGAGCCGCCAGCGTCTTCAGACCGAAAACATCTCTTAAAAACACCTGAAACAGGAAAAAAAAAATGAAATAAAGATGTTCTTCTTCTTTAACCTTTTTTTTTACATTTTTAAACAAGGCATATTCTCCCAGGGTAATACAAGTATGATGTGCTTCATTGGGATGGGAACATCCAAACATCACATATGAGATGTTCCAGTTCACCACTAAGATATTTTACTGGGACATTAGTGAAGCAAAAAACTTTATTTTCGACATTGAATTTTTTTCTCGCAAAACAGGCAACAATGATGCTCAGGGCAACTGATGTACAGTATAAGGAAAGATGGTCTGTTGACATTTGGCACGAGCCTAAATCATGAACATATTACGTTGCAGAGGCTTATATAAAGCGCCCTTTAACTCAAATATTTCTGAGTACACAGTTACGCTCAATTACATTACCATTAGCTACATAAATGTGCAGGTTTTAAGGCTCTCACTGAAGAGAAATAATCTTCGATTGTTATGTGATTTAGGTGAGATTGAAGATGCAGTCTTTCATATCTTTTATTGATCTTTATATGATGATTTAAGGTCATCATTTTTCAATTCAATGTCTGTCAAATTGGGACCAAAGATTAAGTTGTTTGTTTGTAATGTAACATTATATGTAAAAAGTTCTGTGCTTGTCAGAAAGAAGTTGTTGCTTCACTGCAATTTTGGTGTCTTACACGTCCACGTGTGCATGACACAATAACTGACTATGGATGATAACAATCCAAAATAATATGAAAGTATAAGTAAGGATCACAGAGGGCACTGTATTAAAATAAAAAACAGCATCGTATGGGTGTGTCTGTTGTGTGATTTTCACTCACATCTTGATGCTGCATCTCAACGACAGTCTCGTTGTCGTCATAAAATCCAAACTGACTAAAAATCAGGAGAGAGACAGAAGTGTTATAAATGTGTGAGCATCACATGAGAGTCATCTGATCAGCCACAGACAAAAAAAGAAAATCTAGCAGAGCGGAATAATGTGTGAACTGAGTATCATATTACACCGGAAAAGAAGAAGACTATTAAATAGAAAACTCATTGTGTTTGAATCGATGTGAACTGGAAAAACGAATCACTCAACTGCAGCAGAGGAAACACTAACCTCAACAAGTTAAGTGGCTTTCATCAGCGGTTCAGACGCAGGAATAATGCCTGATTAAATGTATTAATCCTGCTGTTTCAGAGGCTTTTTAACACGAGGGTCAGGTTCAGGTAAGTGAGCGCCTCAAGTGTATTTGGCAAAAAAAAATGTTAAAGCATTTGAACAAGCGAAATGACACCCCGACTTTCACTATCAAACTGCGAAAATCTCATGTGCACTGTGTCAAATATAATCGTAAAATAGTTTAGTCTATTTCAATGGATGAAAGCATAAGTCAGATGAAAAGACCACGAGCGCAAAAACATTTGATAAAAATGCTGAAGACAGAGGATGAACTCACCTCGACTGCCAGGGAGTGATGACGCCATCGTCTGGTCCTCCGATCAAAACCAGCTTTTTGATTTTGAGGAAGTTCTTCTTCCAGACTGAGATAGAGGGGTACATTACTTTATTACGAGTGCCTGTAATAACCTATTGCAACCCAGTACAACAGCTCTGCTATTAACTCTAGACCAGAGGTTTTAAGACTGTGAGGTATTGTATTGTGTGTATATGGTTTTATTTAAAGTGCTCGACCTCATTTTATAAAATTTTGTATTTTTTTCTTCATTTAAATATGTTTTTTCTTTTCTTACCTCTCAGTCAGCCTCTGTTTGGCTGTGACATGTGAATTTCCCCACTTAAATCAATAAAGTCTTATTTATCTTATCTCATTGTAGTCCATCTGTTATGTTTTTCCAATAATGCTGGATGAATTTCAGGAAGCATATTTCTTCCCAAATGGATTTATAGTCTCCTTTTTGAATGAAACAACAATTGCAGAGTTTATCAACTTCACACGTTATTCGTTTATCACACATTTGTTATAAACAAATGTAATTACAATGTTAAGACTTGAATAGCCAAAGTTCTTATTTTGTAATTATAAACAAAGGACAATTGATTACTGTTTGCTGGTTAGTAATGTAATTAATGACATCTGCATGTGTACTCTTGGTATCTTTAATTGTATTGTGATGAGTTTTCTTGGTATATTGTGTTTACTGTAAATAGTCTCTTTGCATGTGTGATATGCTGCACCTCTATTTGAACCATAGGTGACATAAAACAACTCAGTTAATCAATTAAATTAATCAGTTTTTCTAAGAACAAGCTGATAACAAAAGCACAACAACTTCCTCCTAACCATTGATGTCTTCTGAGTTCAACCTCACTGTTTCATCATTAAGACAAACATACACTGATTGCTGCATTCATCAAACTTATGGATGCGTTTTAACCACAAGGAATGTGCTGACCTGTTGCGTTTGGATTGGGTCTGTCGCTGTTGAGCAGAGCCAAATAGTCGCTGCTGTTCACATAGAGGTCTCTGTGGTGGGGGTCTGGAGGAGGAGGATGAACAAACAGTATGTGAAAACACTTGTTAATGAAGCTTTCTTAGACTACACCTCCTGTCTTTGGGTCTGATACACTCTTAAGGACAACAGCACACTGAATATCCAATGTTCAGGTTTGACAAGATAAGGAACATGAATTATTCTCACCATTCCAGTAGTTGCAGATGGAGATCCTCTGACCTACTGATGTGTAGCAGAAGTGGAAGAGGTTGGACTTCACCAACTGTGGGAAGAGGTACCTCAAGTAGTCTGTGTCTGAAGAGACAAAGAGCAGGATGAGGAACATGCTTGAGGGTGAAACCGGTTTATCCCATGATTATTAGGCCACTTTGGCGCAGTGGAAACAAGTTGTGAACCGAGCAGCTGACATATCTTCAGCTTTTAAATTGATATGTTGAGCTTATTAGCAAACAGATGCTTATTCATACATCCAGCTGTTACTAATAGTCACTCTTCTTTTAGATCTGTTTTGATCTCTATCAACACCCGTGAGCAAATATATGGCGAGCGACCCCCTTTTCCCGTCGTCACGCTGTTTTGATGTTGGATATATTGTTCTTAAGTAAATATTGATTTATAGGTGCCTTAAACATGAACACGTGTTCAGCCTTTGAAATGGAACCCACCTCCATATTGGCCGGCCTGAGGCGAGGACAGAGAGATGAACGATTGGACGTTGTGGTCAGAGAGAGTGGAGAGGATTCCTCTGCAAACCAGCCCACCTGTTGAAATATCAGCAGAAGATATTTTTCGTCAGCGCTTTTTACCTTTTCAACCAACAGTCAAAAGCCTGAAGATATTCAATCGACGATCACATAAGACAAATAAAAGCATGAAATGGAACGAGGCATTTTGCTTGGAATTTGCTCAGTAATCAAAATCTTATAATAGTTTCAAATTAATTTCGATAAACTACCTGATTAATCGTCCAGTGGTTTCAGCTCTAATCATATTGATTGCATGCATCCTAAAGACTGCACACCAACATTTTTAACATTCATGTTTTTCCAACTCCTGATTGAAGCGGAAATCCCCAAATTCACAGAAAAATCTATCCAGTGAATAAAACAAACAGAGTCTGGTAAAGCCTCACCCTTTTAGATAAAAGACTATTCACAACTGAGGTCAGTTATCCCAAGAATTGCATACATACCAAGACTGTTTTATAATCTAAAAGCAAATACCACATGTACGTCTCTTTATCACTTGCACAAATGCACTCAGACCTTGTGAGTAGCAGATAAAGTGGACCCCGTCTTCTGCGTTTTGCAGTATTGGGTAAATAGCGGCCTTGAATCCCTCCACCTGCTTCCACATGGGCTCCAGGCTGGCACTTCTGTCAAACAAGTCGATGACTGTAACATTTGTTCCAGGATGAGACTGCAGGAGAAAGAAGGAGGTGGTTTCAATTCATAAAACAGGGTGCACTGGGCTTGTGGGGAGGAACTGTGTGCAACTAATGTCCCATATTGTTGCATGAAGCATTAAACACGAACAAGAAACAACTCTAAGCTCAGTGTTAAAAGCAACAGCAGCAAACCAAACACCCCGTATTAACAAAAGTCCACAGTGTTTTTTTAGCAACTAATAGATCAAGATGTGCTTTTAGATATTGATTATTCATCAGAAGTCTGTTTGGTAAGAAGGCAGACTAACCGAAACAGACAGACCGAGGTCTAAATCTCCGCTTTCTATTTTCATTTTCCTCCAGAATTAGTCTGGTTTCAATCATCAGCTTTCTAGGCGTACAAAAAGAGGAACTTAATCTTGGTTTGTGCCTCATCAACCTTGCCGGAGTCCCCACAAAATCTTCACCACTTCCTCATCTCAACCCGGGTTATTCCTAACACAATCTTAAACTGTGTGTTTTTGTCGAAACGGTGTGTGAGGGGTTTGGAGGATTCAAGCAGAGAAGCAGGACAGGCCACATTTCACTGTGCATTTTGAACTGCATTACCACCGACAACTCATTCTCACAGATTTAATCTACCAAAAACGTCCAGATTGGCTCACGATTTCTTGGCAATTTTTCATACACAAACTATGGAGAACATGACAGAATAACAACAGGTTATGTTAGACCAACATAACACATTTACAACTCTTGAATATTAGATTTAATTGAGCCTACATTACATAACTAACTTTTATTTTTACAATCAACACTTGCATATGACAAGGTACTAATCTCTCACTCTCCTGTGGTGCTGCTGCAGGAATAACGCAGAAAAATATACATTTAGAAGACATGTGACTCTACGGTTATGATAAAAGCTGACTAACAGTACATACAGCATGGCGCAGGTCCACATTTGCTGATAACATGTGGTGATATAAGCTGCAAGGCCTGCAGTATACATTGCATAAGGTCAACTCCTGAAAAACAACATGTATATACCTACAAAAGAACCACATTGAACCAGTCTCTTTGTGACGACCACTCACCTCGTTGATAAACTGCTGTAAATGGTTAAAATCCCCTGAGCTGTCGAACAAACCGTGGACTATGACCACCGGCTTGAACCCGACCACCGAAGCCCAGAGACACGCACCGAGCAGCGGATACAGCAGCCCGGCCGCCCCGCTGTACCGCCTGCCCCTTCGGCTCAAAAAAGCAGAATGGGAGCCCTTCATTATAACGCAAAACAATTAAAAACACTAAAAAGGTTTACTAAATCAAATAGATAACTTTAAAATGAAATAAAAACATAAAATATTGATGTTCGGCTGATGTTATGCTGCCATCTTCATCTCCATTGCTTTTTCCAAGCCGCGGTACAAAAAAAAGCTCGTCAGTGTCCCTTAAACTATCCGGTTTTACACAAACTTTATATTTTAATACTTAAAACACTTTAAGCACTAAAACAGCTGCTGAGCTTTGCTTTGGTTTCTTCTGTTTGTTCCGGTTTTATATTAAACGTGATGAAGGCACGGTTGGCGTCATTTCCGGTTCCAGCTTCTCCAATCAGCAGCGTGGATACAAAGTACACATTGTACAGTCAGTTACAAGAGTCATAAACATTATATACACCGTCTAATAACGCAGAAGGTAGAATTATTCACTTTATTACCGATTCTTTTTTTTTTTATTCAGTCACCTATTAAAAGGAATTTACAGTATTTTAAATGATCCATTTAGCCAGGCCAATGATTAATAAAGCAGAAGAATAAAATAACAGCAATCAATATATCATTACAATAATTCCTAAGAGATAGATCAAAGGGTGGGTTCACAATTTTTCAGGTGTCTACATGCATATTGAAACAGGGTTTTCTTGCTGTAATAATTCCTCCTTATCCTGGCTGTTAAAAGATCTTTTCCGAATGCAATCTCAGCTTGATGGGAGACGAGTAAGAGATTAGCACAACTACCATGTGGTTTACTGCATAGCTGAAATAGCTCACCGAGTTGGGATGACATAGCACAAGCACACTAGTCGATGCAAAACCAACACAGCTCCACCTTTGCTAATTACTGTCATACTCTCCCACTCTCTCCCCACACCCACACCCACACCCACACACACACACACACACACACACACACACACACACACACACACACGGAATCATGTGATGGCACGATTTATTAACCAGTCCTGCAGGTTGAGAGCAGAACACCCAAAAGCCTCTTCAAATTCATTTCAACATACAGTAAGTACATCCTGAAGTTCAGGCTCGACTGAAAAGAGAAAAGCGACCATCACTTCTTTGCACTGTCACCATTAATAACCAGCCTTCTGACTTTTCGTCCATTTCAAACAGACATACACAATCAATGGTTTCAATCAAGAGGCGCCACGAGCACACTCCCGACAAAGAGGACAAGAAGAAGAAACATAAGAAACACAGATCACACAAACACAGCAGCTGAGTCACACAACTCAAACTCTGTCAATTAACCGATGGCAGTGAACAAAAAAAAAAACAAAAAAAAAAAACATATGTATTGTCAATATAGGGTACTGAAAAGGCTACTGGTTATCCCATAACTTGTAAAAGGAGTGTAGTCAGTTTCAACACAAATGCTTTCTCTTACTGTGATTAATGATGGAGTGTTGACTTTGTTTTGCTTTCACATACACATATTGTTGCATCCACCGTAGCAAATATAATGCAGCTTGCTTGCTCAGCTCATGCAAGAAAAGGAAAGTGATTTATTGCTCCATCAAAAGCATCAAAAAGCACCACAGAGACACCGCGCGCAGTCTTCAAAACCTGCTCAGATTTAAACGCTCTAGTGAAGAGCTACATGCACAGAGAAACATCCAAACCTCATCAAGACCTCTACAAAATGTTGTTTTAAGAAAATAATGTCTATTTTTCCATGTGTAGAGGAATGGGTTCATCCTGTTGGACGTACTGCAGGTTCAGCTCTACACAGTAGGCTGCAGTAGCTCCTGTAGCTGACACAAAGTGTCCTTCAGGGTGAGAGCTAACGCTTCTGCATTCGTCTCCTCGCAGCAGTTGAAGGCGGTGATGGAGAAGTGGACGTGGTCTGCCTGGGGGTTGTAGCAAATGGCGTAACCGTCAGGAACGAGAGGCCCGAAACACATCACGCTGTCTGTGTTCGCGGGCACCTGAAGGGGCAAGAGGGAGGATTAACACGAGATAGTGTATGAAGAGAAAGAAAGTCGCACTTGCACAAATATAATGTGGAAACTTTGGCTGAAAACCATATCACAACAATGATTTCCTAAAATGTATATATATATTATATTACAATATGGTCAAAATAAGTTCAAACGACATCAAATCAGACCTATATTTGGGTGTCCTTGATCTCACAAGATCTGACAATTCCTGTCTTAATCTATTAGTGTTGACTTGTGGTGTCATTATTCTTTGTTCTGTATGTAAATTACACGTCGAGACTGGATCAGTGTGAAAAGGTGAAGTAAGGAGAAAATTGTTGACTTTGATCAAGCAGGATGAATCCAGAGTGAATCACCAACTCACACTACATACAGCAGCTAGCTACATTGTAAATGGATAATAAGACAAAATGTGAAACTAGGACCATTAAAACCACATGAGCTTCTGCTGTCAAAAACACAATTGCAGTCAAATCATCCAAGGAGCAAATGACTTTATGTCGTCGTAAAAAAACAAAAAAAAAACAGAAGATAAGCAGCGTGATTACTGGAAACTCCCAAACCCTATTTTGTTGGCAGTTATTGCTCCACGACAAGAGAACAGCATCACAAGCTCCAGAACAACAGGAAACTGCTGATCACATGCTGAGAGCTCCCTTACATATATTCATAGTATCGTTAAATACACAAAAGCTAAATAGCCACTTCCTGTTGTGCTACAGGAGTGTCAAAACCTTCTGTGAAACAAACCTACAGAGACACACTTATCACACAGAAACACACCTGCCCCGTTCGGAGTTTCCAGTGTGTTGCGAGGCCGTAAGCTGTATCCATGAAGACTTTGGGGACGCTCAGTCCCTCCTCGATGGCCTGAAGCTTGAGCGCCAGCAGGTGCAGGTCAACGCCATGTCCTTGAAGTACCTGAACAGAGCAGATAAAAAGACGATTTTAGAGAGGAGGTGGGGATCAGTTAATAACAGAGGGCAAATGAAAGTTGACTTGGTATTTACCTTAAGAGTCAGAGCCGTATAGGCGTCAACAGCTTCTCTGAACAGTTGTAGCTTTGCCTCTCGCTGCAACACGAGAAATAAAAAAAATAAAAAAAAAACACACAACGATTACATTTCTCCTCCCCATTAAACCACCGGAAAGAAAACAAGCTAAAATATGAATCCTGCGTTAGCCGCAGCGGAACAATTCACTGGCGCTTCTCACCGACACGGACGGATCGTCGAAGGCAAGAATGAACTTGAGCGTCTGATTTGTGGGCGAGCGGATGTATTCTGTCCTCCCTCCTCGAAACATCCTCTGGGAGGCGATATCACAGGCGGGACAGACCTCATTGTGAGCTCTAAAACAAGAAAGAACAAAAAGGAATGAAAGTCCAACGACGCAAACGCTAATCATTTCAATCTTTAGTCTCATTTGTTCATCACTGATGTGCATTCCAGGACAAACTGCACAGAATACAGAAACGAATGACCTAAATTCAAGAATCAAGATTCAATAATTTATTGCCATATCAACGGCAGTTGATTATGAATTTGGTTTGGTGCGGCCAAGGCTGTCGTCTTTTGGGGATCTCAACGTTTTGGAGCTGTACTTCCCATAATGCTTTGGTGGGTTCAAACAGGAAGTAGACTGTTGACATGGATTCAGTTAGTTAGCTGTGGATTACAATTTGAGGCCCTGTTTTATTCTTTTAAGCCAATGTTTTAAAAAAAAAAAAAAAAAAAAAAAAAATGTGTCATTAAAAGTATGCAGAATTATCTACTGAAAAGCTGTCACTCAATTACTTAAATACTGAAGAAACCTTAAAATCGGATGATTGTCAAGCAAGTTCTGACGTTCAAAGAGCATCTTTTTTTCTGTATATCTCAAGCAGATTTATAGACATTTATTTGCAGTTTATTCAAAATTTGTTTGTAAATATACTCTAAATAACATGACCTGGTTTTATACTAATTTGTACATTCATTTTACTGTGTTTATTGTTTTTTAATTGAGATAAATTGCCTGCCATGGAGGGACAATTAAGTTTGTTCTATTCTACTCTAAGCGATGTATAACTGGATAGGCAGGCTGTTGAAAATCTAAAATAGGGGACAATAACAATAGACAGAGTTTCTTAAGATGGATTTCTCTTGTGATGCAAACAATAAAAATAAAACTTGTGATGTCACCGTGACTGACCTGTAGTAGGCGAGCTGCAGGGCGACCTGGATGAAGGAGTTTGGACTCAGGTTGTGCTGCTTGGGAAGCTCCTTACCAAACCTCTTGAAGTTGAACACGTTCACGTCGAGGTCGTTGATCAGTCTATAGAAAAAATCAATTGTATTTATCCGAAAATTATTCCAAACTCAAGGCTCGTTTTCTAGCTTTTTGTGGAGCCTATTGTCCACGTCTCATGGCTTTCTACTGTGAATGGAAACGTTCACAAGAATGTACAAGTACACAAGATGTGATAAAAGCTGGTCTGACACCTGAGCAGGTCTATTCACTGAAGAAGACCGTGAGATCTGACCAAAAGCTCTGGAAAACGTGTTCCAAAGGTCAATAATAAACCTCCATGTTCATAATTTGTACTGTCTGTTCGTTTACATCATTTATATAATAATAGAAATCAATTACACCTGAATAGTTATAGTTTCTGACAAATGCATTGATGAACACTTATATTTGCTAACAACTACACTATGGTGCCACATGTGACTCTACTTCAAGGTATTTTGAGAAACAGGAGAAACTTTTCTATTCCTCATTTAGTTCTTGGCATCTGGGTGATTTAAAGCTACTCTGAAATTGTATGAAGGCTTGTGGGAAAGGCCTGGATGACAACAGTGACTTCTAAAACCTCTGTAGAGTCAATGACAGCGTTTCCCTTTTGTCAAGGTTACATTCACACAGCGATGATAAACGTGTTTGCACTCCTGTGGTTTTCTTCAGAGCCAAGTTCATTTCAGCTTTGTTAGTTTTTGAGACTAAAGCAAACGTCTAGCTTACGCTGTGCAGCGAGGCCATTCTTCTGTTATCATGACGAGCACATAGTCTGCAGAGACTCTACATTCACACTTCAACCCTCCACACTGTCCAGGGGAATAAGTGGGGAAACGTACATGTCGAGGTTCCGCTTGGCGTGCTCTATGTCCCTCTTAATCTCCCGGTCTATGTTAAAGTAAAGCTTCTTGGGCATCGGTAGAGGGACCAGCGGCGCTCTCTTCGGGTCTGGTTTCTCACTGCAGTCAAGAAAACACACAATTATTTCCCCCCCTATTATCATGGTTCGTTTTGTCTATGCTGCTTCACTAGTGGGAGTCACTGTGC